ATATACATTTTTTACATTCACTGCTGGATTCTGGGTCCTAAAGCAGCTGTAGGACTAGTGATAATTTGATCCTATCTGCATTTTTAATATTCAGAGAGACTTTGGGCTGTTTGTATTCTATATTGCAACACTTTATAACTGGATGCCAAAACTGTCAGATGAAGAGTTTTAAGAAAACCTCTTTTAATGGGTAAACACTCTTAATTTTGTCATTCAAACATACCTCTGGCAGTACTAGAAACAGAGGGGTTGTCCATAGCTCTTTCGAGATCCTGCTTCAGAGATTTATTCTCTTCTTGAAGCTGTTTGATGTTCTTCGACAGTCTCAGGACGGTTGAATTAAGTGCCTTCTGTTGTTTCTGGGATTCTTTTTTCTCAGCCCTGTTATACAGCCAGATATACTGGTAAGGCAGGAGTCTTTTTTAATGAATGGGTGTACGAAATGGGAAATAATTAATTAATACCTGCTCTCTGCAGCTTCTGTATTGGCTAGTAAAATCCTTAATCTCTGTACCTGAAGAAAAAATAACGGATTGTTACAATTTAAAAATAAATGGACATCAGTTATGTTGATTACTTCAACCCCTTACTTGAGATTACATCTAATACACAATATTGGGGTATCACCAGATCGCATGAAAATATCTGCGGTTTCAACTGGAATTTATAAATTCAGAATTGTGTGCACAAACCATTGACAGGGTTATTTAATTTTTTTTAAAACATAGCTTCTGCTTCAGGAAGTGATTACTTATGCTTTAAAAACGCACCTCATCATAGTATGTCTCCATTGCTATCTTCATTTCTTCAATATTTGTTGTCTTTAAATCGTTTTGAAGTTTACTATATTAGAATAAAAACAAAAATGTTATTTTTAGAACAAAATAATGTAGACTATACTTTGCAGTGAATTGAGCTTAATGGAACTGATGTGGCAAAATGTGGTCAATTCAAAGCAATTTGGCTAAATAAGAGTTTAATGTACATTTTTGTAGGTAATAACTCCAGTTTATCATTTCTACTGAAAATATTATGGAAAATAACCTGGTGCCTGCCACACTTTTTACAATATGCACAAAAACATTTAAAAAAAAAGATACATACTTTAAGGCATTATCCTTCTCTCTGCACTGCTGTTCCAGTTTAAGAATTTTCTGTTTTAGTCCATTCATTATCTGAGGAAGAAAAGTAATCTAATTAAACCACCATGCAAAGTTTATTCCAGGTTCTTGCCTAGATTAGTTCATTAAATAATTAGCTTTCTTCTTTAAATGCCCTTTCCTAACCTTTTTTTAATCCTTCAAAATCTAAATAAAACAGCACAATGCATGCTGAAAAACCCACATTGATTAATCCAGTTCTTCCTTAACCGCGAGCGCTGTGGCTGGACGCCGCAAGATGAACTTTGGATAAGAGCAAATTAATGGAGCACTGAGTGAAGTTAAGCGTCACTAGAAAAGTCTGTCGTTAGCAGAAAAACTGTGATTAATTTAACAGTTTCGCTGCAGCTAAGAAACAATTCACTTACTGCACTTGCGTCATTCTTTTTGTCAACCAGAAGCCTGGTATATTCAGACCCCTGCAAATGAGAAACAAATGAATTTGGTAACATCATAAAAAACAACAACACATTTATAATGAATTACTTTAACACGCTGATTCATTTATCCCATCCATCAATCCATTTCCTAACCACGTCATCCAGTACAGGGTCGTGGGGGGAGCCGGACACAGCAAGGAAGGGGCGCGAGGCGAGATAGGAGCCCAGGCCACTGCAGTTGATTTATGAAATATATACTAACTTTTCATCATTCACAGTTCGTCCTCATGGGTTACACAAGAAAGGTCCAACACTTTCTAAGTGCATGATCTATTAAGAGACAGTGGCTCTACAATTTTGACTCCACTACTGACATTATTAGTATAGCACACTGCTCTTATTTTACCTTGGTGGGGTCAAGGAGTTGCTCGATCTGCTTTTCCTTTTTGCCGTTTTCTTCCTCTAATCTGCGCAATTTCGTTTTCATTATATCAGTCTCGGACTTCTGAGCCTGTAACGTCTAGTGAAAAGGAGATATAAAGATTTGTTTTATATGTTTGTATATGTATTAGGATATGGATGGGATGAACTGGGTGTAGCGTTTTTATTAGTCTGAAAGGTCCACTTTAAACCTAGCAATCTGTTTAAACATATATTTTTTTTGTTTGCGCATGAACATAACAATAACTGCACAAGTGATTCTGTAGTGTTTAATCTTTGCAACACAAATCTGTAATTAATGCAAGATACCAACGGAGAACTGCTTTTACAGTACTGTACTACTTCAATAAATTAATTTTAATACAGAATAAAAATAAAAAGTGCAGTCACAGATGATTCACAGAATTTGTTGTTTTTGTTATTGTTTTGTGTGAAATGAGTGTTAGTGTGATATATTATGAAAAGTGTGAGCATTATCTCAATGCATTGAAATTTGTCATTTTTTTCTGTGTACTGATTAAATTTGAATTACAGAAAGGAAGATTAATATGAGGAAAAGGTATAGAATGTAAGTTAGCTGGCAATGAATTCGCATGCATGTTAAGCCAAGTAAGAAAAATGTTTTTCACCGTATCTATTATACGGTGACAATTATTACACTAATATTGACACTGACAGTCTTATTAATGTTATCAAAGACAGCATAGAAAGCAATTCAACAAATAAAAAGTTATCTTCAACAACCTCATCCTTTATGAGATCATTAAAAAACACATTTGATTCCAAAACATATTCATCCTGTCACTGACGTCGCCTTTAAAGATGATACTCCACAACTAACCACGTTCATCTGAGTACTTACCTTTTTAAGTTCAATGATCTCATCATACATATCTTCTTTCTCTCTGAAGTCTGGGGTCCCTGGAACATATCCTGAAAACAGAAGTGAAAGTTTCCAGCTGCATCCCTGAATGTCAGACTAAGGTCAAACGAGAAATAAAGAAAGTCAACCATTTCCATTGCAGTTGATCTGTAGATGTTATGAAAGGTGGCTGTTTACCGTTGGTGGAAGAGCGTGCGTGCTTCGGCTTCTTCATGCCGAGAGCTTCTTTCAGGTACTCTGGGGTGTTTGAGGAGGAAGAATGCCTTGTGAGTGTTGCATCGAAGTCTCCTTTTAGGGGCTGTGACAGACCTGCTGGGAGCAGTCCACGATCACACATACTAGCCACATTCTCTACAAATACTGGTGACATTATAGAACAAAAACAGCTTGGATATTTTACAACAGAACAGTAACCGAGGGACCTATCCTATTGCATACACATATCTCGTGTAGCTGCTGCCAGTACCGGAACAACAGAACAAAACAAGCAGACTGGCCACATCACCATCAAAGAAGGAGAGCAATCAAGGTCAAATTGTCAAATATACTCTAAGAATTACCTATATAATTCAGATTCCATGATAAAATAATACTGTTTTATTTTCAGACTGCAAATTCACTTAGATTACAATTGTACCTTAAAATCCTTTCATACACACCAGTCTTAACAGATGCCAGCCAAAACTCCCTGGGTACTCGAGCTGAAGGGTTTTCAAGGTGCATGGTACCCGTCCCTTTCAATGACCGCCAAACTGCTGCTTTTTTGGGGCGCAGGCTGGTGCTGGAGAAGTATGGCGATTCTAAAAATAAAAAAGTGATATAAAAATCAGAATTTACAACTTGAATTGCATCCAGCATACCTTGTGAAATTATTAAAAAAAAAAATTCAGTTGTTTTCACATCTGCAATTGGAAATCTTCCTTTAACAGTTTACAGATGAGTAAAATCCAAGCAGATTTTTAAAATTGTTGTTAATGTAGATGGCCTTTTCTTTAACTTTAATTAAATTATAATTACATATTTTCAAGCAGTTTTAAGGCACATACATATCTTAAATGTGAGGAATGTAAAAAACAAAACATTTCAGGTGATAACTGACCGTTTTCTACTAATAACATCTGAAATACATGTCTCTTACTGGGAGATGGAGGTGGCTTACTCGATGTCTTCTTTTTCATTGTTCTCTGAATAAAGACACACGAATTATATGAGACAAGGTTGTCAGTAAAAAAGTAAAAGTCCGTCCAGGAAAAAATACATTAATATCACATTCCAGAAAAAAAAAACATTCATGTTTAAAGAATGAAGCCCTCAGATGTGAATAAAATATTTAATGCATTTATTTCCTTTAGACAAAATGTTAATAACGTGAAAGCTCGTCAAGGGCTATTTCTGTTTTACAGATATGCATCAGTAAGAAATACCTTTTCTGAACCAGAGGCGTAGGTAGCGATGGAAATTCCATCTTCCCCCTGTCAAAAAGCACAAGAAAACGTCAGCTAGTAATACAACCAATGTCAGGACAGTGCTGACTCAACTACACGTTAATAGTTTAAGTGACAGTGTTTAAGTGTTACACGTGAACAACGAAATCGATTTGCTCGCCACCCTGCTAATGCTTTTAATATGCAGTATCGGTAAAACTACTTTATTTGAAAAAGAAATTGTTTAATCGTAACATAAAGCATGCTTGTAACAGAACAATATTAATCTCCTTACCAGATCTTCCAACTCCTCATCAGTCAAAAATTCACTAGCTTCGACTGACATTTTTCTTATTCTTAGTTTCTCAATTTCATTCCTGAATACTTGTACTGTACTGTAAATGTACTGTACTGTAAATGTATCTTAAAACCTATGCGCTGTTCAAAATATCAAAACGATCAAATCTATTGTTACTCATCGATTGTAAGTTATGTGCAAAATACTATCCCACGTTTTAAAATACAATTTCTTCCGTATAGTTACTCTTAATGTGGCATTCACCGAACCCAGTCCTCAAAACTAGACTTTACAATACAGATAATCATCATTGTAACTCTACAACATTAACAGTTATTCCTCTGTATCAATCTGAAAAGTTACTTCTGAATTCTTAAGACAATAATGCATTATCTGGTCTCCCCGGTTTTACTTAATTGCATACATTTTAATGGACTTATTGATATGTACTACAACTAATTTTGAGAAAGCTTGTTTTTTTAATTAAAGTATTTCGATTTTCCCCCAACAACAAGCTAAAGATCTAAGTCGAATATTTTCATATTTCCAGACATAAAGTATCAAATTGCAAATCAACTGGAATTCGTTATTATACGGTATTTATTCTTTGCTGATAACTTCACTTGTTCCCTTTGTCTGGTTTGGGCATCATTAGAGTCGTCTATGGCAACCAAAAACACATTATGCTCTGTGGGACTACCAGAAACTTACTCGTATTGTTTCTGGGCTCAGATGCCACATTTCAACAACATTAAATTAATTTAATCTTTGTTTTTACTGAATACTACATTTTAAGACAAAAGGGTGAGAAACTGCGAAATAGAATAACTCTTTACATTTGAAAGTAAGGTTCATTGCTTGTATGCTCTCCTATAAACGTCGAATTCTGTCTTGCCTTCACACATGAGGTTAATAAAATGCGGTATACACATACAATCCAAAAATAATAAATACACATGCAAAATATATGTGCAATTCCCAAAAGAATATAATAGGATCTTTAGCTCTTTTGGTGTTCTAGGACATCAAATACGACAAAGTTTCTTCCCAACTCTAGGAGGGAATTTCCTTACGGGTATTTTTCACTAAGGGTAAGTTCTAGTTGGCCACTCCTTAAAGTTAAATAATAAATTCTATTTTTTTTCTTCAGGAAGTCACATGGAGAGGAGCTGAAGCTCACATGACTGTCAGAACTATGGAAGGCGACATCAGTGAAGGTAACCAAAAAAACTCTTCATGCCTCAGCAAAAAGTCAACTTTTTATTCATTATACAGTACGTGTTGCGCTATACACGTACTCAATGCGAAGCAAGTCATTGAAATGTGTTATTGTAAAATCGTCAGTGTGTACTTCCTTGCAGTTCGGCTTGCTGCTGTTACTAGTTTTCTTGTGATTTTTGGCAGGCGGATTTGATGTTTTCCATTAGGTGTCTTATACGACAAAGAGAGAAATTGATTGCGAGGCCGAGAGGACATCAGTAAGGGAGATGACCAACAGTTTTCTCCCGGGGATTTTATAATGTAGTGGCGGTGTGTTGTTTAAAACAAACCTGAAAGTAGGGCAATTTTATGATTCTTAAGTTTTGTCCAGATAATGTGCCAGGCACAAAGAAAGCCTTTTTTTTTGTCCAAACGCTTGCATCTCATTCGAGGTGAGGCTGATAGTATTGGAGTATGCGGATCATGTCAGTAAAAGTGTCTTGTTTTGTTGCTTGCTGGACGGATTTCACCTCTTGAGAATGTGCCGATCTTGTTTGCGTTCCGTGGCCGTGACAGCTTGTGTTAAGTCAACGATAGCTCCATCCTCGTGTCCTTATGTAGATGTCCAATTGCACATCTATTGTTAAAATGCAAAAAGTTCATAAACTGAAACCAAAGGCTGTGAAGGATCAGTCGGATATCCGCCCTCAGCAGATACTGAGCCAGTTACTCGTGGCACAATACCGAAGGCGTCTTTTTAGTGTAGTCTGTGCCAGAGGAGAATTTACACCGACTGCTCAATAGTAATTAATACTTACTCTAGGGGTGTGAATAAATACGACCCTAGTGGTTTATGGACTTTAATTGTGACAGATATAATTTTTCTCAGTGCACAGCTATTAAGATCGCAGCTTGTAGATCTCTTTAAAGCAAGATGCATAATTTCTGGAAATACGAAAGTAACGTTTTTTATTTGTAATTCACTGGGGGTTTGAATAAACCTGGGGGGCACTGTATGTACCGTAATACTTTAGACCAAGCTCCACATGAAGTGTGGTTAATGTTTCTTCATCAGCGTGCAAACCGTTTGTGTGCTCCGTCTTTCCTGACAGCCTCTGAAAAGGGCATTTTTGTGGCTCTTCTAGTGTTATGCTTGCAGTCCCTTGACCTTTTTATTATTTTAAAGCTAGTCAATAACATCTTAGTGACTTATTTTTTAAAGATAGGTTAAAGTTATATTTAATCACATTGCCTTTGCACTATAGTAGTTGATACAAGCTGGGAGCAATTTTGGGTGGAATTTTCCGTGGATGTGTAGCTACAGTATGTAGTGACCCAACGATTGTCTGACAGGAGAGACACCTTCGCAGTTACAGCACTAAAAGTTAACTTCTGAAGATAAGCTACAGTGGCCTCATGTTTATATTTTTTTGGTTCATCTGGTTAAAACGAGAGTGAGATGCACAAAATCACAGTTTATTTGAACTGAAACAATCATAGGTTAGCCTTTGTCCTGTAAAAGTTCCTATATAATGAAAGCATCTGGTTTCTTTATTACTGTACTTTGACGTTTGTGATAGGACTGCAAACATGACAAAGTCTTCTGTTGTTAAATTCTTTGTTTATTGTGCTTGATGAATGAGTAGCATGGTTAGGCAAGACTTAATCTTGTCTTGACTAAAAATCATTAACTTTCCTTTCAGTCTTTTCAAGTTGTAATGTTTGCGTTTCATTTTTTGGCATCACAAGATTGACACATTGTCAGGTAATGTAGAGGCAATTGTTATAAAGAGGATATTGCCTTTTAAATTGCTTGGAAGGTGTTTTGTAGCAGCCTAGTTCTGTTAAAGAGTCAAGTTGAGTAATTCTGCAGCTCTGTTAAGAGGTGACTAGACAAACTGACACTGGGGTTTCCATAGTGATCTAGTGTACAGCTGGCCTTTCCTTTAACTTGTGAGGATAGCCGTAAGCAACGCTATTGTGTTTGTGCAGCTAACTAGCTGGATGTCTTCACCACAGTGTCACAGCAATGCATATCACATTTTCCATTTCATGCAAAATGCTTGATTTAAAGTGATGATAAAGCAAAACAAACTATTTTGCTAATAGTGAGCAACTAAAAGTGAATGAGGGTGTCATGCTGATGTTGTCTGAGTCTATCATGGAGAGATAACATGTATGGAACCATAAAGCTACAGTATATCTCCTACTGCTTGTAGTCCTTTGTTTGCATTGTGCTTGCTTAATGCTTTTTGGATAAATAAGCCGTTTTAATAAAATAAATTCTCATTCACAAAAACGCAATGTCTCTGAATAAGGAGCTCAGTTTAGCTTTTCTCTCCTGATTTGTGTGATGATCTGATTGTGGGGGGAAAAAACAGGAATTGAGACACAGATCCAAATTTGGTGCAATTATTGGTAATTTGAACTTTATACAGTGTTTTCCTTTCACGGATGATTTAAGTTCCTGTTGGAGCAGTTTACTGTTCTGTTATAGGCTTTCACACGTGTGGGGAAGTGTTACAAACTATACCAGGAGCTGAATCAAAAGCCCCAAAGAAAAGTCACTGTCAGTTGGAAATTCCCTCTGAAGGCACATACTGTATAACATGCTGACTGTCTGCAAACTCCTCCTGTAATTTTTAATATTTGATATACTCTGTGCACCATACTTTGCATGTGTCTATTTAGGTATACGTTTAGGCATATTCAAACTTGGTTAGGGCAGGGAAAGTAATCCCTTGTATTTCTCAAATATGTATGTAATTCTGTAGCTCAGTGAGTCGCAGAATTGGCAATCTTAACCTCATGTTTTGTATAATAATCAACTGTGAGATTTATTGTCAAAATAAAGAGAAGTTCAGTCATAACCGTGCTCCAGTTATAAATTACAGTATCTTTTTTTTTAACAAAACGACCTGTTCGTTTTGATTATCCAGGTTCAGTTCCCCCGTATTACAGAGAAGTTTATGAAGCACTATGCAGTAAGAAAGATGAACGAGTGCAAGGAGATGTTTTTCAAAGGCTGTTGAGCAAGACAGATCTTCCCTGTGCTGTACAGAACCAGGTAAGGAGAATGCGCCTGTTACAGAGCTATAGATGCGAGAGAGTGGTTGAAGTAAAAGAGCTTTCTATTGAGGTATCAGTGGGCCACACTCTAACTGATAGAAAGTTGTCTTGCATGACACGGTGCTTAGTCTCTGCACACGTGTGGTGGTAGAAACTAGGGAAAAGGGATTCGCAATGGTAAGTCCCAAAAATGTTCAGTGCGGGAAATGTACTGGAACACATGCTGATTGTAGCATTAATAAGTAAAACATGCATTTTGAAGAATGCCACAAAAGACTTTGTTTTTGTTGCCCCATGACTGGATAAGAATGCAGTAGGAATTTGAGATCTGATTGAGGAGACTGTCTTTGCTTGTGCATCGGAGACTGTAATTGTTTTTTTTGGATTCGTCATTGGTACACTTTGTCGTCAGCTCCTCTCACAGTGGGTAAAAAAACAATCTGTTCTGTGAGTTTTGCTTCAGTCCAGTTTCTCTGACCTTTATTTCAGCTGAGGTATTGCTTAGATAGCAAAGATCTGGATTATAGCACAGGAAAGCCTGTTTTTAAATAAGATGTATACATCTCCACAACAAACATCTCAAACTAAACAAACATTGCTGTAGTGTTTAAGAACTTAAAAGAAAATATTTTAAAAAAATGGCTTCTGTTTTACAGTATACATAACTGCTCTAAATCGAAGACTAGTCTTATCTTTGAGGAAAACTAACTGGGAGTCTTAGTAAAATAATTGGATAGGCAGAGTAAAGTGTGCACACAACATTTCAGCTGTTGAGCCTTCTTCAGATGTGTCATGTCATTTCTATCTATTAGGGATGGGGGATAGCATAAGTTAAATATATTAAATACACACAACACTTAGTGCTTAAACATAAGAGAAGCTGAACCTTTACAGTGTGATGTCAAAATTATCTTGGTCTAAGACCTAATGAGAATGGCTTCACACATTATACCCTCTGTAAAGACACAAAGAATGATGCATAACAGACTTTATACTTATTCATATGTGCAATACTTGAGGTATTAAGATGCCTGGCAACTCTGATTACCTTTGTATGTTAATATAAAACAATAAAAAAAACATAAGATAGAAAACTCAATTATCTTGGAAATTGGAAAGCCTTAGGACACCTTCATTACAAGAGTAACATGGGTGTAATGGGCTCCCATTCACTATGCTTTTTTCAATAAAAACATTTCTTAGTGTGCCCTATTTTAGTAATCTTGAGGGTACGTTTGTGGTTAGTTCTGTATTACAGTAATATTGCTTATTTCTAGTAATCCATCCATCCATTTCCTGACCTCTTCATCCAGTACAGGGAAGCCTGAGCCTCTCCCAGCAAGCAGTGGGCACAAGACAGGAGACACCCTGGATGGGTGTACAGACACGCACACACACACACCAGGGGCAGTTTCCCCAGAAGCCAATTAACCCACCAGCATGTCTTTAGACTGTGGGAGGGAATGGGAGAGCCCAGAGCAAACCCACAGAAACACAGGGAGAACATACGGACTCCGTGCAGCCAGGGCCCCGGCACTGCGAGACAGCGATGCTGACCTCTGCACCCCGCTTATAGTCATATGTTTAGAAATTTCTTCCCCTCCTGTTCTTTCTTGTTTTGTCTTTAATCATATTAATGAATATAACGGCTTCTATTGTGAATCTAGAGCTTCTCATTTGGGATTGAGAGAGGAGAACATCTTGCTTTCCCAGCTGGAACTGAGGGCATTTTCATCTTCCCCAGGTTGCTGAACACGTGGAATTTAAGGATGGGTTCCTGTCAAAGGTGTCCCTTTATAAAGCGCTTGCTCTGATTGCACTGGCTCAGCAAGGAAAGCAGCCCAGCCCAAAACTACTGGAGAACTACATTCAAGGTACCACAGCCCAGAGCTTGTAGGAGGGATCCATTTTTCTAATTCAGGCAGAAACGGTTCTTAGGAACTGGTGTTGAAATGATCTTTATTCTTACTCAGGCACTGAAAGAATATAAATATAAGTAATATAAGTACTGTATATAAGAAATTTGCAGCTGCACTTACAAATGGAAATGTGGTGGATGTGAATATACAGTTTAGCTGTTCTGGAGAGAGATAGTGATGGTTCTTTTTTTTAAGGATTCCCAGAGGCGAATTTTGTGATGGGGAATCAGAAAGCTGTTGAGGTCATTTGTTGTGTGGTAGTCTTACAGAAAAAAACTTTCAGTGTGAATTTAAGAAGCAGCTCTGAACTTTATCCAGGTGAAATTCAGAAGACTTTTTCTTTCTCCCTGAAGAAGCATGATCACGTTGGTTATTCTGATTGTGAATAACCATGTATATGGCAGTATACAACTTCCTGTCAGTTAGACTGTGACGTACAATTTCTCAGAATCTGCTTACTGTACTAGCTGGACACTCAGACCATCTGATGGGCTCAGCCTCAGCAGTGATCGGTCTGTTGTATATTACAATTATCTAGTTATTCTGCAGGAGAGCACCACCCTTCCAAATGTTCATTCAGATGGTCTATTCCAAGCCTTGATATCACTACAGGTCGGCGATGGCCAGTCAACCTGAGATGTTGCACTACCTGATGGCTTTGTGTTGGTGAACATTGCTACGTGGTTTGGCTGTCTAGCTTGCAAATGATGATTTATAGCCTCCTCCTCCTCATAGCTGAAGTGCTGATACTTGGGTTTTTGTAATGTGGTATTTCTGATGCAATGGGACTGGCATTGTACAAGTGGTAACAGTGATTGAGCATGATGTGTCAATATCAGCGAGGTATTGTGACTTACGGTGTCCCATACCCTGACCTACCCTTGATGGACTAGGAATGTCTGTAACATCGTGCCACAGACGTGACTGTGTTGTCTTAGTCCAGCCTCCAACATATGTTGGTCATGGGGAACAAAAAGATATCTTGATGAGTGGATCATACAGGTTCCGTTCTGTTTTTGTTTTTTCCTTGATTTTGTTTTTGGTAGGTTTGACCTTCAACATTGTGTCATGTCCTCCCTCGTGTCCGGTCAGCTCTCAAAAATGAGGTGATTTAATGTAACAGCCCAGTCCTGAGTGTGTGTTGGTCTGTAACAAATGATCAGTTAATCAATGCCACAAATATGTAATCAACATCCAAAATATATGTGCTTTATTTCCTCAAACTTTCCATGTATAGATAAAAAAGTTTCTTTTTATTATATTCAGGATATGTAGTCTATATATAAAAAAAAATTCTTTTAAATATTGTTGTGATTGTAGTCCAGATATTGGCATTCATGCTGTGCGGTTTCTCTGTCTATGTTGGCTAGCATCCACTCCTCACTGCGTCCGGCATCTGTATTGTCCTCACAATCAAAAGAAGAAGCTGGTCAGCACATTTTCTGAATATTTTATTTTGGGTTCTGACACCAAGTTCCTTTCTGTTGGGGAATTTTGATGAGCCGCTTGCATAAGAACATGAGAAAGGTTAAAGTAAGAGGACCCGGAGGCGACATTGCTATCAGCTAAGTGATCCAAGGATCTCTGCTATTCCTTGAAGGAAGTGACTTTTTACAGGATTAGGTTTTGCCATATAGCCGGGTGTAACTTGTTCCAGACTTCCACAGCCATTTGTTTAAAAAAAGCGTCTCCTGTTCTCAGCTGGCGTTCTCTGTAGTCTGCCCTGTGATTTGAGTTTCACTGTTGATTCGGAAGAAGCCAGTTGAATTGACTAGGTCTGTACCTCTGAGGATATTGAATACATGAATCAGTGCCTCGTGTAGTTTCTCTGTTCAAGAACAACAAGTTTATTTCCTTTTTTCATTCCCTTCAGAGTAGGATATTCCTTTATGCCCTGGTATGTATCTCATCGCTCTTCTCTGGGCTGTTTTCAGATCTTACTGTTGTTTGGTATTTGTTTTTTATGGCAAATCTAAAATAATGCCCAGAACAAGACTTGTCAGAGGACACTTTCTGTGTATGGTTCTTTCTATGCATCTTGCGTTTCCAGTCTTGGATTGTAACACGTTTAAGACAGCTTTCAGTTCATATTCCTTTTCAAGAATTCAGTGTTTTCACAGGTGCTCACAGTATGCCACAGCATGGTTTAGAAATTCTCCCCAGAGTGCCATTTTTCTCCAGGTTTCTGGCTGAGTATAACTTCCTGTCAGTTACACAAAATTCCAAATTACAAATTACAACCTGCTTTAGACCCACACTCTCTGCTTTTGTTACACACTCTCATGTGACTTAAGAAGCAGTTTTATAGAGACACTGATTAAATTAAAACTTTGACCCAAACTCCAGCTACAAATTAATAATACATTCTTACAGGTGACTTGCTGTTTGCGAGGTGCTTGTCATGTCTAGCAGTTCAGAACACACCATCCGATACTTGGTACTGTATAAATGTCATGAATGGGGTGTGGCTCAAAATTGTGATTTAATTTGGCGTTGAGGTGTAATTGCTGGTTGAAGGAGTTAACTTTTTTTTGTATCTAGAGAAGTGGCATTTTGTTTTTTCTTGATATGGGGGTTATGAAGTTTAGAATTTATCTTAAATAAGTTTAGCATTATTCAACCAATAATGAAGCTCAGATACTGCTGTGTTAAACCAGGCGTGAATTTGTACTTGGAATTTACAGCTCGTTTGAGAGAAACGGCTTCAGCCCTTGAGTGTTTTCAGTTTTTGAGAAAGAAGTGGGTGCAAGGTCCAGGGCAGGAGACACCTGGCTCCACTGCAATTTCCCTGGCACTTACTCCGCAAGCGAGACGAGCACCTTTTTATACAAACAGCTCACAATACAAACATGAGCAAGAATCCAATCTGTCAGTCAGCGAAGAGCCGCTTACTGTTTATTAAGGTGCCATTTTGGGGGACTCTTGTGGTTGTCAGATTGTCACCACACCTATTCAGGTAAATCCAGGGCACACAGCTACACAGTTAGACTCATTTAAATGCACTGTTACTGTGCAGGCTGTGCTTCCATGATGGAACTGAATTCATTCACCTTCCTTCCTCTTTGTAGATGACTAGTTCTACAGTTTCCCTGTGCTGCATCTGGTCTGATGCTATGATCTGGTCTGAATCAGTCATGAATCGTCTCTACTTTGTCGAAGGAACTTAATTTTTTAGATTAATATGTATGCCGATATACTACATTTAGATTGCTACATGGATAACCAGGAGTTTCTTTTTTTGGCTTTTTCTTATGTCGGCTGGGGAAGTGGAAAATTAGTTTGATTCCCCTATAACTGCCTGTTTTTAGATTTGTTCTGATCTCTGGCTTAACTAAAGTAAACATCTGTATATTTGTAGTGCTTTGTGACTGGGGTTGAAGCTCTGATTTGTGTTTTAATTTTGCATTAAGGCGACATTGTTGAAAATGCAGTGAAACGTTATTTTCTTTACAAAAGTTTGACAAACCAAGTGGAGATAAAACGCCACCTCTAAACATGCATATTCCTCGGAGGTTGATTTTGGTTTTTTACCTGAATTGTTCAAGATTATTGAGTCTCCCAGAATTCAAAATATATTACATTATTGTGTTTAATAATGGACCTAGCTCTTTTTCTAGTGCTTATCTTTGTCTGTCGATCCATACTATTAATAGTGAAGGCAACCGAATATAAAAATCCTAATCCATTCCCTGAAGACTTCTGTTTCCAAGTGAGCGTGAATGTTTCCAATGTTGTTTTAGAAAACACTGGCCGCACTGCAGTGTGCAGAGAGCCCTCATTGTCGGGTTGTTTCCTAGATTTTCCCAAGCCTGAGCTGGGCGACCTGAAGGAGCTGCAGGTGCTCAGGATGCAGTCCAGCACGGAAAACCCCCTGGTCCTCTCGCTCAGCTTGACCCAGCTGCTGGGCCGGGACGTAGTGCAGGTGGAGCTCATCCCCGAGAAGAAGGGCCTGTTCCTCAAGCACGTTGAGTATGAGGTGACCAGTCAGGTAAGACGGGTAAACGCCGTTCATCTCCGCTCTTTGTTTTGAGAAGCCACAATCTCAAGAGAAAAGAATGTGCTGGAAGAGTGCAGGAACACATCCGCTTGTCTTTAATAAAACGGTTGCCAATTACGAATTGCTAATTGAACTTTTTATAAAACACTTCTTTCTTTAATATTGAACTTTTTGAATAGAAGGAGCCCAAAGTTTTGTCTTATTTTCCTAGTTTCAGGTTTGTGCTCTGTTGAGTTGAAATGCCACACTCGTGTGAGCTTTGGTGCATGAAGCATGATTTGCAGGTCATCACTAATGTAGTGTTTCCTGTCCTCCTGCAGCGATTCCACACATCTGTCTATCGGCGATACAGCGATTTCGATGTTTTCCATGAACTTCTGCTGCAGAGGTTTGCCTACAGGATGGTGCCAGCTCTCCCACCTAAAAGGATGCTAAAAGGAGGTAAAGATTGATGTGCATCACAGGAGCTTCACTGCTAGAACTTTGAGGGTACTTAAAAAGTGGTAGTGATCTTATTCACTTTTTATGAAATTAATTATTTTTCTCCTTTCATTTGTACTCTCTGAATAACTATCCATTAAAGAAACAGTTTTGCCGATAAAACATGTACCCGCGCTGACACTAGAAACACCTGGCTGTTGGTGCTATCTGCCATTTCTCACACGGCGAGCTCCACTGTAATCACTACTCCCCGACTGTGGCTTGGAGGAAAGGTGCAGCTCGCAGGCTCATCACAGGTGTTTCTACCACAGAAACCCTGGCCAGCTCATACCCACCCACCCCTGCTGGCTCTCTTCACCTTAGACTGCAGGTTTCAGCCTCTGTTCCAGAGGAGGGCTTTCAGTCCTTGAGTCACGCAGGATTAACCTTGTGATTTGCAATTTATACAAAAAACCTTTTAGTTGACATTTCACATGTGATCTAATGTCGAGGACACCAAAGTACCTTTGCTCAGTGGCCTACATACTGTAGGCTGATCTAATCTGCCCAGGGGCTGCTCCTAGAACGTACCATATGTGTCATATTCTGGCCAGAAGAGCCTCTCGCAGATTTTCTGTTCAGCCGTCGAATCAACGCCATCTACGCACACTGCAGGGATCTTGGATTAGATCTTTGTTGAAAAACAAAGTGACGTGGTTTCAGAATAGTTTTTGCAAATGCATGTTCAGCTGGAATTCAGTTTCAGATAGTTGTAAAAGAGTCCTACGGAACTTCAATACATGTCAAGCTGTGTTCCTTGAAGTTCTGTTTAGGTTTACAGATTTTAAAAAATACAGATGTGGTTTTTTTTTACGAATGCAATTTTTCGTTGTTCTTATTAACAGTTTCGCAGAAGTAAAGGAGGAAATTTAGACACTAATAAATAAGGATGTCTGGCATCCTTACAATAAGGCCGTTTGAAAGTGCTATTGTGGTGGAGGTCTGTGGGTATGGACATAAAAATATTCTATATTGGAAACGGTGAAGCTTCAGAAGCAGAAAATATGATTCAGTTCTTCTGTTCTCTCAAAACTCCCCAAGTGGATACAGACCCACGCTAACGCACCGATTTCTCATCTGTACTAAATTATTCTATTGGAACTGGGGTTCGAGGGGGAATTCTTCCAGAAAGAACCTTTGCTCATTCTGGGTTCCACAAGCTGTCATGAGAGAGGCGGTGATTTTGTTCAGTTACTTAGCATCGATTGTCTTGGGAAGTTTTTTCTTCCGAACATTTTAACAAAGTGCGTCTGTCATTATACTCCCAGGGAATTTCCCAAACAGTCATTTTTTTTTATTCTTGAAAAGAACGGGGCTGTTAAAGGAGAAGTGAGAGCCCTGCGATAAAAATAGGATGACGTGTTCTCCCACATCACCACAGTGAACAAGTACCTGGATTCATACGTCTTTGTTGATTTTTTTTTTTACATTATTATATTTTGAAATTGTAAGGTATGGAAAAGTATCTGAATCCAGATGCCTGATCTTTCCGTAGGTTACTGGTAAAAGTTTTTTTTTCTTTTTCAATTACGTTTACAGTCTTGACGTCTACCTCTGAGCGAGAATTTATTGAGGGCAGGCGCCGTGCTCTCCGGAGGTTCATTAACTTGGTGGCGAGGCACCCTTTCTTCTCTGAGGATGATCTCGTAAAGACCTTCCTGACTTTCAGTGGTTCGGTAAGTGTCTTGTCCAATTAAAGACCAGGAGCGGCAGAGTGAGTTGAACTCCAGTCTGCAGAGTTAATCTCCGTGTCAGAGCTGTCAGAGCCGAGAGAGATCTCCGCTCTTTTTCTAACTTGCCTTCCTGAGATTTGGTTGCTGTTTTATGAACAGTTTTAAAAGTCAGTTAAAGCAGGACAGCAGCATCCAAAGTCAAGTTTTTATTTCTGGCAGATCTCTGTAAGAATCCCGCCAGTAATCCCACTGTTTAACGTACTCCTTTGGGTTTTGTCCAGTTTACATAAAAAATGTAGTTAGATAGTACTTACGGACAATTATAAAATCCTATAAGAGGCCCCTTAAGTTTGTCCTGTGGTGTCTGCTGTATGTTAACTTGCCCGTACTAATTAGACTAATCATTTTACTCTGTGTTTACTAGGGCACTGAGGCAAGACATGATTTTAAAACTGCCTTTGAACTCAAAAATATTAATTTGTCTTTCTGTACACTGAACATGTAGTACTAAGAAACTGTTCACTATTTCTGACAAAGAATGGTTAGCATTGTGCGATCAAACATCTGAAAAATGTTAGTGATTTGTTCAAAAGCAATATTCATGTTAGTAAGCCTCCTATCAGTTCTCCAAGTCTTAATTAATTTACAAATTGATGTCTTTCATTTTAAAGACCATTCTAAAATGAACATGGAGTCAAATAATTGATCACTCTCATTAATTGCTTATCATGATAGTAATGCATTGCTTAATGGTTTACAAATATGAAGAAGTAAACATGTTCCTAAGCATTTATTTGGTATATTCTGAATTTCCTGGCACAAAAAAACACGATGGGCATGCTCTGGTATGACTCTTTTTGGCCTTAATCTAAAATAATTTTGCTTACACACAGCCAAGAGCTGCGATGGTGTAGCTCTGTTCTTTTCAACATTTTTCCTAGAACCGTTTGTCTGTGCATGGGCTCTGTTAAGGAATTGATACCCTGCCTTAAGAGCTCTGGCAGCTATTTGACCATGGCACAAGCCCTGCGGCATTCAGTAAGGGTCTTTTGCTGCCAGGCTGCTCTGGGAGATAATTCAGTTTTTTTGCTGACGACTTCATTAAACTGTGGATAGGTCATTAATGCATTATAGTGGGAATTACCCAAAGAAAGTATGCACAGCCACTGACACAATGCAGCAGAAGGTGATCTGTGCCAGGTAGATAAATGAATAGCACAGGCAGTGTTAATGAGGTCAGATCAACTCTGCTGGTGCTGTCATCACATCCCATGTTTTTGCCTACTTAGGTAAGATTGGAACTGAAGCACAGAGCACTGCTGGTAGCTCAAGAATCACTGTCCCTATAGTTACGTTTTCAGTAAGTTTCACAAGAGTAAATTTAATAATCGTTAATACTATAGTCATTCTATAACATTGCTTTGCAGTCTCTTCTAAACTTGTTCTTGGGTAATTTCCCTTCCGATTTCATTAACTTAAAGTGTTCAAAAGAAAAAAAAATAGGCTTTTAAGGCAGTTAAAAGGTACTTCTGTGAGGGATGTTTGTACTTCTTCCTTTGGCGATTTGTGTGAAAGCCCTCTGCAGAGTCATGATTTACTCGACATGAGATCATGTCTTTTTTTTCTTCTGCTGTTTCCCTTTAGGATGTGCAAAACAAACTGCGAGAGTCGTTTAAGAAAAGGGGGGATGAATTCATGACTTGTAAAATAGCCACACGGGCCAAGGTTAGTTATTTGTTTTAATAAGAACTAAAACTGGTCGTTCTCAGACTCGTAGCATGGTTTAGAGAATGTATCTTTTGCGTGAACACTTTTTAAAGTTCTGTATTTTCCACAATGGAACAAAGACCAAAACATTATAACACTAATATTCCCCTCCATCCCACCACTGCTAGTTACATCTCAGTTTACTGTTTTACTTCTATATTAAACAATTAAAAAAAAAGTGATGTTTACTAAAGAATTCATTTTATTATACCCTTTAGTGCTTTGCTTATATAAGGTATGTTTTGATTGATGTATTTTCCATTTTAAATAACGCAGGCTGGGAACGTCGGTATTTGTGTATTTGTGATTCTAAAGCAGAGATTCTTCCTGGTAGCCAGCTCTCATCCTATCGGATCAGGTTGGGCCTGGTCAGTACTGCTGTGCCAGACCTCTAGAGAAAACCAGTCCGACAGTGATGTGCCACCTTCTAGCCCGCCAGCTTGATCGTTAAAGATGCCATGGTGCTCTTCGTAAGAGTAGGGATGTGACTGCCTGACTTCCACTTCGGGCCCTCGTAACCTGGTCTTCCCTTTCCATTCGTTTGACATGAAGCACTCTGGGCCTCCTTTGAGCTGAAGAGCAAGGAATTGATCTCCAGTCATGAAGTGTGTGAGAGTGTGATTCTCGATCGCTGTTTTTCCCAGGAGCACCTGCCAGCCGACATCCAGGCTCAGTTTGCAGTCAGCAGGGAGCTGATCCGGAATATTTCGAGCAGTTTCCAGAGGCTGCGCGACCGGGCGGAGAGGATGGCTGTGCGCTCCATCGAAAACGCCACCGACCTGCTCATGTTTGGCAGGGACCTGAGGCATGTAGTACCATGTGTGCTCTGTGAGGTTTTTCCAGCATTGCGCTCGTTTTGTCTTGGTTTAAGGGGGGGATATCGGTAATGGAGGCTGCTAAAGCAATCTCTAGGACGTGTCGACTCCTTAAGACCGCAACCTTCCTGGTAGTTTGGTTGGGCACTTTGTTCCATACTCCCACAACTCTCTGGGTAAACACGTGCCTCCTCTTTTAAATGTTTTAAGTGTGCTTTACTTGTGTCCTCTGGTTCATGATTCGTGTTCATTCTGAAGAACTCCACTTCTTGTGTTTACCTTATCGGTGCCTTTTTGCATACTTGTATCAGGTCCCTCCTTCGTCACCTCTAAGGATAAAAAGGCTAATTTGCTTCAGTCTGTCGGTGTAGGACATTTCTTTAAGCACCGGAATATATTTGATTTCCTTTTGATCAATTTCCCCCATTATCTTGAACATGTTAATACTGTATCAACATAAATAAATGTTTTAGTTTATTTTACTAACTCCATGCAAGCCTGCATCAAGTGCATTGCCTAGTCTTGAATTTTATTTACATTTTTCTGAAAATCATTGGCTGCTTCTACAGTATTTGCTAATCCTCCTATTTTGGAATCCTCTGCAAACTTGGCCTTTTCAGCTTTTTAGAAGCGTAGTATGTAGTAATTTTCAAGTTTATTTTTAGTCTTCTAAGCCAGAATGGCTATAAGCTGATTGCTTTTGGAAAGCTTTTTTTTCTTTCCTTCTACTACCAAAGACCAAAAATCAAAAATCTGTCTTAACTCTTGCGCTCACACTTCACAAATACGTCAATACGACAGTACCGTGCAAGCTTCATTTGTAGGTCTAAAAGCATAGGAAAAGCTCCTAATGTCGTGCACACCCTTTAAATCTCAATCTTCAGTGTGTATGAAATTCCAAACCCTGTACCAATTATCCAGTCCCCAAGTCAGTCACCCCTGGTGTGGGCGTTTCCAAATAAATAGTGGCAGGTTGGTGTACCAGTGACAAATCTATGGCTACCATACAGTAAGTCAATCAAATTTCAGGTGTTGCACAACTGATGGTGAACAGCTGTTGTATCAGCTGTTCAGGTGTTGTATATTCATGTTTTGTGTACAATAAACTGGTGTCTCACGAAATTTCACAGAGCAGTAGAAAACTAGCGAAACTGTTCCTCACAAATGAATGAGGCCGTACAGCTGCTGGGCTCGGTGGCCCTGTGTTTTGATTTTTCTTCACAACACCAGAACTATTGGAATTTGAAGTTTCAAAAGTGGATTAAAGAACCGAGATGCATGCCTTTTTAAAGATGTTAACGTGAATGAAAAGAGAGATTTAATTGTTTTTGGGTTCCCTGAACCGGAGTATGCTTTTCCTTTCCTAATCAGGAACTTGCTTTTATTTGAAAATGGTTTGTATGAGGCTTTATCTAATCGCACAAAAAACAGAATTATGTTTTATCAGATAACAGTGAAATTTCACACAATTGTCGGTTATTAGTTGTTTTGTGTCAGCTAGAACTCACTACAAGACGCGAAAGCCAAATACTTCTTAATTAGACAGAGCTCATTATTTCCAGGGCTTCAAGTAGCAGGTTTGCTATTTCGCTTTGTTGTTTGTTTTTTTTTGGATGGTGTTGCTCTTTTTGGCAGGAAAGGTTTCCTTGTTTTTTTTGTTCAGACTGAGTAGTCAGTATTAAAAATGAAAGAGCCATGATCCAGTTGTTCCCATCCTGAGCCACAGCTGGAAAGATCTTTAAAGATTTGCGTGTGTCTTGTATTGCAGTGCGCTGGGCTCGGATTCCGCGCCAGTCCCAAAGCTTGGCTCAGCCAGCAACACTTGGGGAGCCCTGCGACAGTCCCTGAAAGGGCTGTCTGTGGAATTTGCTGTGCTTGCTGACAAAGCAGCGCAACAGGTAGGAAGAGGAGCGGAGCTGTACTGTGCTCCTGGCTTGGACCTGCAGTATTATATGTTGAATTTTTTCCCCCAACAGGCATCAATTCAATTACTTGCAGTCTGTAAAATCACACACTTCAGAAATAGAAATAATTTCTGATGCCGTTGATTGTAGATTTTAGCTGCATGCACTTAACGTTTGTAGATGTAATTTTTAATTTAATTTCCAGACTGTTAATTCTACTAGTCTTACTAGTAAATAAAAGTGTCAATTTGTGTCGTCTCGCATAATTGTGTAAGACAATGTGAGAGATGTAGTGATGAAAACACAATAGCTGAATTGGTTTTGTGGCATAAGGTTCTCATATGTATATAAAATCATATGTATAGTCTTTATATTTCGCATTAAAATTAAGTAGAATCTGCTGAACAAGAATATATTCTGTAAAGACTATTTACCTTTTTCAGGGGAAAAGAGAAGAAGATGATGTGGTGGAAAAACTGAATCTGTTCTTGGATCTACTGCAGTCATACAAAGTGAGTCTTTATATAGCAACACAGAGTGTGAAAAGCGTTATTCTCTACTGGTGCCAAAACCTTGTGTTTCTGAGAGCATGGAGTGGAGGAGTCAGCACTTGGAGCAAGAAAATATATTTTGTACAACAACTCCAAAAAAAACGTTTGGAAAAAAAAAATAATCTTAAAAACAATAAAATGCAGGAAAACAGAAAGTGAAGAAGGCCCCTGTCCGGAATGCTTCACTGCTACACTGTGAACAGGTCTTAAAGATAGTGCCTCCCTTTGTTAGAGCAAAGACCTGCCCCTGCTTTAGCCTGTCTGTAACTCAACTGCCGGGAGGGGTGTTGCTTGGCAGCAAGGGGTGCCGGTGGGCAGTCTGTTTTTCAACAGTGAAACTCTGAGGTGGTTTGCTTCCGGCTCTTGCCCGCAGGACCTGTGTGAGAGGCACGAGAAGGGAGTTTTGCACGACCACCACCGGGCGCTGCAGAAATACAGCGTGATGAAGAGGCAGATGATGACCGCCACGGTGCAGACCAAAGAGCAGGTGTCTGTGGAACAGCTGGAGTCCCGCATTGTGCAGGTGAGGCGCTGGCCTGATGCTAATGTCACTCCCTGTCCCTGGAGAACTGTCCCACCCACCGGTCTCCTGTACCCAGAACTGCAGCTTCCTACAACTAAAAACTGAGCGCACCTGTCATGCCAAGTGAGGGGTTCAGCCATCACACACATGATTCAGTTTGCCGTCTTGAAAGCTTACAAACAGGCTTGTGATCCCTGTATCTGCCTCAGTCTGTCCCCCTCTGTTTTTAATTGAGCTTAGTAATTGTTGTAGATTACTTTTCACACTGTTATTTCTCATTCCAAGAAGAGAGTCTCCTCATAATCAAGGGGCATATGCAGTACAAACACTTAAGTTGCATATGTGCGCAGTATTGCATTAGTTCTTTATTTTTTTCTTGCAGCTAGATAGTGGATAAAAGTTTGAATGTGAAGTTTAAATTGTCTTTCACTATTGGAATGTGAAAGGTGAAAAATGTGTAAAAAGTATGTCTTAACAAATTAGTTTTTGACAGCAGTATAAATGAAAACATGTTCCTGTTTATTTTACATATACTGTATACTGAATCATTCCCTCACATGCATTCACATGAAGATATTCTGTAGAATCTCTGTTAATTCCTTGCTGTATGTTATTACTGGCAATCATAGTTAGTTGTGAGAATTGTAGATTGAAATAAAACAACAATGAACCTGCATCAGCTGTTCATTAACACTCCCCCTGAGCAGATACTGAAAAAGACACTTCCCTTTTTTACAGAACGGATCACAACACACCCACATGCGAAATGCTGTGTGCATTAATAGAGAATGTTGTAACATATTCATACCACAGATTGACATGCCCATGTTTTGTATCGCATAAGAAAGGAAACAGTTGTTTTTTTCCCAGCCCACCCTCAAAACAAATGTGTTAAATGTGATAATTTCAATTATCACTTCAAAAATAGGACTTAGCGGATCTTTATAATCACTTAAATCACTTTACACTTAAGCACTTCACCATTTATTTTTTATAGGCCCGAGATAATGGTTATCATTTTTAGGTGGTAACTTTCAATACAAAAAAAGGACCACAGTCCTCCTGTATTTGTATTCAGTGTAATTAAAATAGAGGCAATCTTTTTTTAAGAAAAAAATGCATTATTGTTCATTGTAAGGAATTTATTTTCTGAAATCATAACTGTAGGTCTCTTAATCCTCAGTGGCAAGCGGAAAACATGAACATACAGTATACCAAAGTGACATTTACCACAAATTAACTAGAGTTTTGCATTGGTTCCCTGAGGTTTTGATGTCTCTGCTGTGCTTTACTACTCCAGATTCCAGGTAACTGGAATTCAACAACCTCCCGTAACGGATGTTTCAAAGGGAGATGTATTCATGGTGCAGTGTGTTAAAGCACGTTCAAGAGATGTGTTGCACGGTTGAATTGCTTATGAAAAATAGTTCAGACAAACTTTTTTTTTTCTTCTAGTGCATCTGCAATCTAAATTTGACCACAGAGGCAACTCCTTTCTTTCCACATGCACTAATGCGCGTGTCGATTCTCTCTAGCAAGAGAACGCCATTCTGACAATGGAGCTCCGGAACTATTTCTCCTTATTTTGCCTTCACCAAGAGACGCAACTGATATACACCTACCTTCCCATCACGTCCAGTATCCTGGCAGCATTCGTCAGCTCCCAGATCCAGGGGCACAAGGAGGTATGTATTTCAGAACCACCAGGAAGGGGTCTTATGTGACATTCTGATGGCCAGTGTACTGTCTGGGGCAGCATGGTGGTGCATTGATGCCACATGGCGCTGAGGCCCTGGGTGTCATTCCCGTGTGGAGCTTGTGTCTTCTCCTCATGTTCACGTGGGTTTCCTTCGGCTGTTGAGCATCATTTTCCCTTTGGCAGTAGTTCCTGTAAAGACTGACTCTGCCTTTTCAAGCCCTCGATTTTTATTAACATAGAAGACGGCAACAAAAAACACATCCGGGCCAGCCTGAATTTAAAAGTATAGTTATGCTGTATGGGTTACATTGCGTCACAGTGTCCTTAGATGATAGAAATTTTCTCCACAATCCAGACTTCTTTTAACTCTCCAGCTTGGGATTTTACCATTGGAGTCAGCAGCCATTCTGTGAAATTCACTAACAGTGTGTAAGGCAGAGTTCCCTCGCCTCTTTCTCTCACTGAGTGACATGCTTGTTATAATTGTTCTCAAGACCAGAAGCTAAAAGTAACTTATTTTCTTAAAACCTAAACCTTTTTTTCCCCTCCACAGATGAGTGAGATCTGGAATGACCTCCAGCCCAAGCTGAATTGTCTGTTTGGGGGATCCAATGGTGCACCATCTCCCCCTTTGACACCTCACCGAGGAGACTGGAAGGTACCCGCTGCCTTCTGCACTAATTAGCTGAGCAAGAATAACAAAGAAGCTGCACGAGTCAGCCTGGCTGTCCACTGTAAGGCTTGTGTGGAGGAGACTGTTGGATGTGCACAGCCAAGCATGGGAGAAAATAATGTTTGACCAAAGACACTAATGATAAAAAGAACAGTATAATGATTCCCCCCCCATTTTGTACACTTATTAAAAAATAGCACATTTCTCCTGAAAGCACACAGTATTCATGACTCAGTATGTTAAATTTCTCACCAGGTCAGAGAATAAGCTGAATACAATACGTAAAGCATGAAGTGCAGCAATAAAGCTGCATCTTTTCTCTTGGCAAATAAAAGTATGGATTTGTACAGAAGAACTAGCCTCTGTATTTAAAAAGGGTCAGTTGTATAGTTCTTTGGGAATTTCTACATCATTTTCATGATAATGGGGTAATTTGATATTTGAATGCAGGCTTATAATATACAAACTGATATCCAAAAGATTACCTGCTTTGCTTCTGAAATGAAAAAGAATAAATTCATAAAATTTAAGGTGCTGCTCACAGCTTGTAGAAGTGAGGTGGCTTTCTAAATCTGCAAAGAAAAACAAAATCCAAGTTTAATTCAAAGTTGTGTACATATTTTTAAATAGTGTAATTAAATTTGTACTTCAGTATAGTTCACAAATTGTAAATATTATTTAGGTAATAACTTTTGATTTAATTGTGATTTTCTAGGAAAAGATTTTTCAAAAATATTTTTTATTAGCCAAAACACAGCTGAAACTGCCCTGGACCACAGATACTTTGATAAAACTTCTAGTGTGTTGTACTGTTTTTAGGCAGAAGATGGCAGCATGTTGTAGTGAAAAAGCTCATTAAGCCTCTCTATTCCCAAATCCTATCTCTTGGTTGAAAGGATAGGAGCACTAAACAAGGCATCGTGGACAGCAATGAGTAAGGTGACCCCAAATCTTCCCTGAGTGGGGGGTGAACCCAAGGGTGCATGGTTATCCTGCATGGTTAATCTGCAGGATAGATATAATGAAGTAAATGATAATAAAAAGAATAGAGATTGTTTTATATTAAACAATTAACCTTTCACTCTAGTTTTCCCTTGAATTCTAGTTTACTGTCTGCAACACGTGTTGAATGCAGAAATGTTTTAAGACTGTTTTCAATACTGTGCAGATTTTGTATTGTTTTATATCAAGTCTCCAATTTAATGAGTGTGCGTCTGGTCACACTGCAAAGTGTTAAGCAGTACTTTTAAATCTATTTGTTTCACAAGATTGTCTACGTTATATGTATTTTGTCCTCCGTGTGAATGCAAAACATACATTCATATGTGACTCAGTACAAAACTGAGTCATTTTTGTCGATGAGAATTCCAAAATCTGTATTTGATGATTCTAGCAGAAACTCATTAGACACTACTAATAGTGACTGTTTCTTTAGCTTCTGTTATTTTGAAGTAGTGTTCTCTTTAGGACTTTTAAAACTGTGAAAAGCTATTTCAAGAGCAACCCTTGAGCCAGGAGTTCTATATTTTATTGTATAATACAAAATATCGCGTAGAAGGCTTTTGTAATATATAATTAGTATATATGTATCTAAAAGGATTGCACATCTAAACATTCCATGTTGAAGAAAAGCTATGAATTTTAACAATCCTGTTTACATTTGATTGTCTACAACATCGGCTATGAAACACCAAAGAAACCTAACACATTTGCACTCACCTCTACAGATATAAGTAGATAGATATGCAGGGACAGTTGCTGAATTGTAATTTATATGATATAAATAATATATCAAATTAAGCTTTTTTCAAAGGCCAATGAGATGCCTTTTTTGCTTGCAAAAGGCTAAATGTATTATGTACAGTATGTAAGGTTTATTAGGACACACTCCATGCGAATGGCATGTTCTGTATAACTGGTATTTGCAAAGGCTACCTTACATGCAAATTATTGAAATCAACAACTCTGAGATTAAGTGCTTAAAAGATCTGTTTGAACTTTACCTAGGACATTTATACTGCTGTTTACAATATATGTTGTGCCTTAAAAGCCATAAATCCTTGTCTGTCATTATTCTACTACATGTATATTTTGCCTCATCACACCGTTGATGTAACTGGAAGTATTAGAAATGTATTGGCTGATGAGTTTATAATCAATTTTTGAGTGTAGCTCATATTGTGTATAGTTTTATCTAGCTGTTCCTTATTATACAGAAGTGAAATGGCAAAATTACTTAGATGTAGATGAAGCATCACTTTGTTTTTTTTTGTCATGATTTCAAAGCAAGAATAATTATCTGCTTTTTGGAATTGCTGCTTTTGTCCAGTGCTCAGCATACTTTAGGGACAGTTTAGACTTTCTTAAATGTCCTCTAAGCCCTTCCACTCTTCTTCATGCAAATATATGTTTCAGCTGAAGTCACTTTGTGTAGGAAAAGAGGGCTGCTGGTGTTGTTGATTAATGCTGCTTTTTATGGGATTAATGGCAATGAAGCTAAAAATCGACTCCCAGCTTCAAAGCCCAAGCACACTCCAAAGACAGCTAACCACACACTTATCTGATCAACATTATCCATGGTGTGAAAGATGAATTGAGAATTTGTGTTTTCTGAACTTCAGTGTATATTCATATCTTACATACATGTGCAATTTTGAAAATTAGATCAAGTATTGATATGAATAAATCTGTAAAATATACTATATGTCACATTTTTTAAAAGGTAGCATTTCAATTATCTTGCTTCGTTTGTTACTCAGCTGTATTGCAGAATTTTATCAATATATTTTTGTCTTTAAATTTACAATAAACTACATCTTTGGTTACTTTTTCCTTGTGTGGACTCCTTTAAATTATTGTTCACCACAAATATCTCGAAAGGCACCTCTAATTTTATGAAAAGAATAACTTAATTTATGACATAAATATATGATTTATGAGACCCACTTCTTCAGAACATGTATTAGTAACAGCAATTGAATCTGCCAGGGGATGACTTTTCAAGACAGTGACATTTTACTGCATGAATGAGCTGCACTTCACAGGCCAGATCATTTTATTTCAGCTGCCCGTCTGCTAACGGACATGTGGCACCTTTTGTACCGGTTCTCGGGAATAGCAGGTTATTCATTCTGCTTGATTCCCTCTTCACTCGTCGCATAACACCGAGATGCCGCAGATGTAAAGAGAAGACAAATGAGAACTTACAAACTGCATTTTTAAGTTTGAAAGCATTTTGATTTTACAAAAGCACAGCAGGTGTGCAAAAAGGTCAGGGTACTTATAAAGTCTGGCAATTACCTCTGAAAACAGTATCAATTTCACCCTGCCTCCAGTGTATGTGACAATCACTGGGAGCACACAGTAATGGGTGTATACGTGTTGCTGCAGAAAAATAACAGACACAAGGCGGTGCTGAAATGCAACACGAGATTTCGGCTGTCGTCTCCACAGGTGTTTGGCCAACCTGGTGGATGATGTTCAAGAATGTTTGCGGTCTCTTAATGCATCAGACCAACTGAGGGTCAACACAGGGCCCTGTGCCTGGGGAAATATCTTTGTGATGAGATCATGTCAGCTACCTGCATGTAAATGCACATTTTCCAATAAGTGCTTCATTCTGCGGGGGGGCATGACAACACTGTTCAGAAAATGGATGGATATTCATGGTTAATAGATGATTAAAAAGGTCCTCTGAGCTGATGACAAAACTATAGAACATCATGTACTTTAAATGATCCCCCAAACATAGACTACACATAAAAGCTCTCCACTTCTGCATATATGATTTTAGAAAATTAGGCTTGAATTTTGGATATTGCTTTACCACCATGGAGCAGTATCTGGCCAGACGGCTGGGCTTGGTCAGTACTGGGGTGGGAGACGTCCAGGGAAATACAGGTTGTTTTGGACAAATGTTAAGCAGCACAATAAACGTACCTACAGTGTGTCATGTCGGTTCAATAGAATGTCAGTGCAACTGCTACAAACAAGATTCCAATTTTCCTGATATTAGCTTTATGAATTTGCTGCAGTTAAAAGTTCCTTTCCGCCCTCAGTATGTATTTGTAATACAGAGGGAAAAATAAGAATTATGATTGCAGGCTTCTTAAAAGAACCTAGATCAATTACACATGTCTGGCTGTACTGCAATTGATATGTCTGGCTCCAAATCCTTTTCAATCACACTACCGTATATACATAGAAAAGGCTCAATGGTGTCAATCTGAAATAGACTTGTAAAAGCTTCCTAGTCCAAATGTAGATTGCATAATTTAATATCTTTAAAGTGAAAAAAAATGGTCAATTCCCGCTTTTGTTGTTTGCTCTGTTTACAAAGTGACAGATACAAAAGCATCTTGCCAACATGGGCTATGAAATCCTTCTACATAAAGGACGGTTCCAACTCCATACACTGTCAGAAAATGTATAACTGCATTTTGATAGATTCCCCAGGAACACTTTCTTCAGAGCATGAAAATTCTCCACAAAACGTTTATAGAAAATCAATTCTTTCTTAAGAGTAGAACACAAAAGAATTCAGGGAATACAAAAAAGCACGCTCAAAGGAGTGGAGTTTTTGGTGCAGATGTGTCCAGATAAACAGCTCTCTCTGTTCTGACCCTCTTAAGTGTACCCCAGTCTTCCAGCTTGTTTGGTTTGCTGCTTTTCTGTTGAATTTTCTGATGGAAAAGCCAGTGATGTGTCTCTTTACTCAGCTGTTTACAAGCAAATCCCAGTGCACTTCAGTACGCAGCCTGGCAGGTGTTCATGGAAAGGACTCCAAGGAGATCCGAGAGTAATATAAGGTTTAAAAGTTAGTGGTGTTTTGGTTTTTCTGTATTACACCTTCTGAAGTCCACCGTCAAGAATTTACCACACTATAAGGCAACGTGGAGAGAAGTTAATTAACAAACTGGATAAACTATCTTGAAATGAAAAACGAACTTGTAAGGGCTGCTCCAGATTCGGACTTTCTACTGAACACTAATATTCTGTCTAAACCATTATTTTTTACAGAGGCGGTGTAGGTTAATAATGGTGATCTCTTACACTGTTCACTTGCAGATTGAAAATGACAGCAATCATGCTCCAGGGCATTCAATCAGGCTTGAAGGTATAACATCTGAATACAAATCCAACACTAAATTGCTCTGCCACGACTGAAACTTAAAATATCTATCAAGCTAGCTGGGAGAGAATTGCAAGATTCTAGCTAAGTTCACATAACCATCTTGAGTCGAGGTGTCACACAGAATGATCAAATAGCTGGGATTTAAAATGAGCTACCAGTTCTGTCCTTCATTTACAAAGGCTGCTGATGAGCTCAGTCCCAGTCCCCAGGGCCCCTGCCAGAATTTAATAAGACAAGGAATTTGTGAAAAGGGAGACAAAATCTTGCTTGGGCCCTTTTACATTCATCTTTGCAAACAAAGAAATAACTGGGGGAAAAAAACACACGTGGATGGCCGCTGAAAAAAAAAAAAATGTCTTTATTACTTTTTAACAAACAAGAAAGATGTGAAGGGATTCCCACATTTCTGCAACGAAAGGACAATGTTACCTGAAATTCAATGTTAACATATTGCGTAAAGGAAAGCAAAACACAGTTCCCTCATTTTCTGATGACCAACTTCAAAAGATGCCATCTCAGTAATTGTTTCATGTGTGGGTTTCATGAATGTGTAGGGCTGCCAAAGAAATATTTTACACACATATAAAGCAAGAAAAATGGCTGCTATAGGTTTTTATGAGCCCAGTAAATGACTCCAAAATGATACCGTTCCCAACTGAGGACAATATTCCCTGCAGTGTCATATTGGTAAAAAGTATTGTATGCTTTACTTTTGTTAAGTGTACCAAAGTAAAAAGAGTACGATTTACATTGTCCTTTTCAGCCTAGAATGTAGTTTTACCACATTACAACAATTATTATTGTGTTGTACGCTACACATAACATACATTAGCTACATATCTTCATATGTTACCAAATTATGTGTTTAGGGGGGAATAATCCGATTTGTTTTTTATTTGCAATTTCATAATGGCTGTTCAGCGTGGCGAAATTACCCACATCTTTCAAGTCAACATTTGTAAGCTTTCAAAAACACAGCACCTTATTCCAGCTGGTTTCTTGGCAGTTCAGGAAACTTCATGAAACTGTTTGGAAAAGGTTTGTGACTTCAAACACAGAATTAAACTTTGTGAAGAGCCCTGGAATGCAACAACCAAGAAAGGACAGATCAGCTGTTTAACCCTGAATCTATGCCAGTTACAGGACGCAAGACTAAAACCCAAAAGTATATTTAACCTTAATGTCTTATCAACCGTTATGGTACAGTATACATAAGGAGATTTTATATCTTGACAAGAGAACCATCTACCAGAAGGTATCCAAGTCCTTTAAGGTCCCATGGTCCCATTATCCAGATTATTTTACAAGCTTTGCACTTCTTCCAATTTGTGCTCGAGAATTATGTCATGTCCTTGAAACTTAAAATAGCCCAAAAACTTCTTCTTTTGCAGCATCAGAGGGAACCACAAAATGTCATCTGGCCACATCTGATCAAAGGGGATTCTGTCCCGGTCAAACCACTGTGGTCGCATTTCTTAAACACAAACAATACACAAACACATACAATAACACTTTAAAACTTTAAAAATTCACAAAATGAACAATTAGTGAATAAGATAACACATAGTCAGCGTTTCTGCATAGGCAGAGCCGAAAAGCTAAAAACAAAGCTTAGTGACATTTTGTATTAATCTTAGTACTTAATACTAATCTTAGTATTATTTGTTATTGTATTATCAACATGTACATTATATCCCTGCACTAGGGTTTTCTTTTAAAAAAGCTGCCTCCTGATCAAGATTTGGAAATAGTAACGTGTTCAAAACCTACGCACAGTAGAGTTTCACTGACTTTTCTCAACCTATCAACATCGTTCATAATGCCAACAAACATAGCTTTGAAAGGAAGCAGATATCTGAAGGAATTTTACATCAAAGTAATTTTACTTACAGAATCTCTCCTGGACTTGACTTACAGTGCATGGCGACGATGATTGAATTTGATCACATTGCCATACCAGAAAGAACAGTCCAGATTACAATTCTTTATGTTTTTAATGGAAAAAAAGGCAAATTCAGGTACAGGGCTTTAGACTGCAGACAAATGCGTCCGATAATAAAATCTCACCATCCGATTCGGCTGGCTCTCCGTGGAAGCTGTCAGCCCTGAAAATATGAACATCCAGCAGTTCCGTTTCTCCGACAAACTCGAATTTGATTTCTCCAATCTTCTCGAGGGTGTCAGCTGTTAGGCTGCTCTCCTCCAGCAACTCCCTGACAAAGCAATACCGTCCATTATGCTCCAGTGCAGGGAAAAAAAATAATGCTAGTTGTCACTGCAGAGCCACTAAAATTGAAATGTGTCTCACTTCTCAATTTAAATGTTTAAACAAAATTCTCTTTCCAGCAATGGGAAACCAATTTTTAGCAGCCGACATTATCTTGCATTCAGCACAAGATCTAAGTTAATGCAGTTTAATAACGTAGGTTAATGATGTCAAGCTTACACTGCGGATGCCCAGCCCTGGTCCTGAAAGGTCAGTGCGTCTGTGTATTTTTATTCTGGCTTGAAAACCAGCTGACACGCCAGCCCTCCATAACCAAAACTGGACAGCTCAAGTGCAGAGGTACTGTATGTGGTTGTACACACATCTGGAAATCAATTGTGCTGAAACGGTAGGTACACTATCGGAAGATAGGTCTTTGGTAGTTTTTATCACTACCAAGCACAACCCATCTGATTCAGGCTTCTGCTGGCATTTTAGTGGGGCATTATTTCATTAGACATTTTAAGGTAAATTTAAGATCATGAATGTTTACTGATGCTTTACCAATCGTGAATTCAAATGAACCTTGTGTATTTCTGAAATTAGTTCCAGGAAAGTGCGAAGCAATGAAGTCTACGTAATATTTAGTGGCTCAACTATAAGTTCTGCACTGAGGGATCACTGTTTTATTCCTACGCCCCCCCCAAAAACACTTCTAAAACATATGTACCTTTTGTTGTATTTCAAATAGTTCATATTTTTTAAAAATAAACTTAAGCTTAAACTGAAATGTTTGTGGGTTTACCATATCTTGGGTTTCGCTTATTTCGATACCTTCTGTGGGGTATGAGGCTTCCTCGTGACTGGACTCACCGCTTCGCTGCTTGCTCGATTGTCTCTCCCGGCTGAACTTTGCCCCCAAAGCCGTTCCACTTCCCTGCGCCAAAACCACGCTTCTTCATGCCCAGGAGAACCCGCTGAGGCTGTACCACCATGACCAGGGTCAACAGCTTGGTAGTGATCATTGCGCTGCTGCAGGGAAGGACACACACACGACTGAATCCCTCTCCGCGCTCTAATGTCACGGGAGAGACAGTGACCAGGATCACACTCTCACGTCAAGCACCTGACTAAACACCTGTGGAAAGATCACTGATATGAACGCAGCTGAACCCCAGACGTTGCGCAGTGTGCAAATGGACAAATTGGGGACTTAATTTTGGAAGCGCTCGTGCACACGGACACAAACTTTAAGTTCATAAAAAAGGCATTTGTTTCAGGGCACAAGCCCTCGGACAGAAGCCCTTCAGCTGTTCAGAAAGACACCAGCTCTGCCGGTTCCATTGCTTTATGACGGCTGCAGGTCTGCGGTCTGAAATCCTGAAACAATTGTTTTAAAAACAACAGTTAACACTTGCATACCATATTATCACATTTATTCTTCAAAATTTATTTGAACACTACAGTTCAGACTACTCCAAGTTATATATGTCCATACAGTATATATGACATTTTCAAATTACTTCTATGGAATGTACTTGATTCTGAACAGTGAGATACTGCATTGCGTGATATTATTTAGCACACTACTTTAAGCCTCAAAACTGATTATTTTTCACAGTTTGTACGGTAAGGTGCCGTGATCATTGCCGGGACAATTGCTCTGAAAACAGATTGGCCAGACAACGTACAAATTCCCAGAAAAACGTTAATTAAGTTTTAGTGTAACAAGAACAATGTCACTGTGCTGTATTTGCATAGCCTGCTCTGTACATTTCTCGACACCGCATTCATTCACATCTCAATACAGTTAACTTCTTTTGTCACAGTAATTGCCTTCCTAACTACTATAGACGTCACCAGCTCCGGATAATACAAGTACATCCTTGCATATAGTCAGATAATTTTCTATGGACATTTTCTATGAGCAATCTGAAAGTGACCTAAAGGCTACAAAAAAGTGAATCGATTAAACAGAACAAGTCTCATACCCCAGAACGATACCATCTAAAGTAAGTGTGAACAATAGCAGCAGATGCACATTCAATAACTCTGCAACAGCTGCCTCTTCCCTCGAAAGTCAGTCCAGCGGGTAGCCACACACATGACTCCCCAGCTCACTGTAGGCGTGCCACCCTGAAAACTGTCCGACTGGAAACACGGGGAGGACGTGCGGGAGGTCATATGTGACGGAAGCGTGTTCATCCTTAATGTTTACGAGTACTATCAAGGTCCCTTTTTAAACGTGCTTTCAGAGAAAAGGTGACATTTTGCAACTTTTAACGTAAAGGCTTCATGTAGTTTTAATTATCGATGTTATTCATAACTTCGTTCTACCGCTTTTGTACGGATTCAAAAATCTCAATGCAGCCCGGTGCTATTCCTGAATTGGTTGTAGTGTAATATAATTTGCAACCAATAATTAGTAACCCACTAGCATCTCAGATTAAGTGATTGCATTTTCCCCTCAAAATGAAAGTGTCTGAGGTCTGCTAGTCCTACCCTCTAAAACTTAAGCGGTTCAGTAACAAATTAGGACTCGTTTGACATGACAGGTCGGTTCAGTGGGTCTTGCAGAAATGAAGCTGAGGTTCGTATTAGGAATGGACCTCAGCCTTTTGGATTAAAACCATTTGTTTTGATCAAGTAGATCAATAGAAAAAAAGGCTGAAATCAGCCCTGCTTTGAATAAAGAGTTGATGTGGTAGCTCAGTGGTATGAAACTTTACCGTACAGTCACGGCATTGTACACTCTATACGTACAAAGTTTGATCAGCGACCCTGCGCGTTTCGGACTTGTTGCGATGTGTTTCCTCTCCCAGGGATGCTGCGCAGGGCTCTGCACGCCTCGGCTCGGTGCTGGAAGAAGAGCCCACACAACACGAAAGGCAAGAGCGCTCCGGAGCAGCGATGGATCGCCAGGCAGATCAACGACCCGTATGTGAAGGCCGCCCGCCGGGAGAGCTACCGGTGCCGGAGCGCCTTCAAGCTGCTGGAGATCGACGACCAGCACCGCATCCTCAGGCCGGGGCTCCGCGTCATTGACTGCGGCGCCGCGCCGGGGGCGTGGAGCCAGGTCGCCGTCGAGAGGGTGAACTCGTCGGGGGCAGGTGAGCGCATGTTTGGTGTGTTTTAAATTGGGGTCTGACTGCAGCCCAACACAACATCTTCTTACATTACATTAAGCGCACACCCTGTGTAGTTTCGGTGAACTGGACGAGATGGGGTTAGGGCTTGGCAGCTTCCATAAGGATCAGGGCAGATGGGAGTTTAGCACTTAAGACGGCCTTGAAGCCAGCATGCACCTCGGTTACGTCAGCACCAAACTGGACCGTCCTGGCGCTGCAGGTTTTGTGGGGCTCTTCAAAGACGCAGCAGCTGACGAGCTGGGAGAAACTGTTCAGTTGGCCCAGTGTAGGCAGGTAGCTAGTCACCGCCTGATTTAGCTCGTGAGGCGCTGGCTTGGAATGAAAGCACCCAGACACACCGGCCCCCCAGGACTTGAGTTGCCCACCCCCACATTAGAAGCTCTGTGTACATGAACACGGATGAGACTGGTTCAGCTTGTAGTGCTGCCTTCTCACTTGTTTCAGATCCCGGATTGCCGGCGGGCTTTGTCGTCGGAGTCGACCTCCTGCGGCTCGCGCCCCTGGACGGAGCACACTTCCTCTCCCCGTGCGACGTGACGGACGCGGCCACTCCTGCCCGCCTGCAGGAGCTTCTCCCGGCCTCCGTGGCCGACGTCATCCTGAGCGACATGGCGCCCAACGCCAGCGGCTTCAGGGAGCTGGACCACGAGAGGCTGGTCGGCATGTGTCTGTCCCTGGTGGACATGGCCGAGGGGGTCCTGCGTCCGGGAGGCACTCTGCTGTGTAAAGTCTGGGACGGAGGACTGGCCCATCAGCTCCACAAGAAGCTGGCGCAGGCCTTCAAGGAAGTCAGGACCATAAAGCCTAAAGCCAGCAGGAAGGAGTCCGCCGAGCTGTTTTTCCTGGCCAAGAGTTACAAGGACAAATGATTGTTAGCATTTTCCTCCAGTTTTTTAAATTGTTTAAAAAACTGGAGTTTTGTGAGATTACTATTGGGAAAAAAACTTCAAAATGATGTGCACTTTATCCCAAAGCCAGCAAGAGACGTTGCCAAAATTGAGAATGAAAAACAAACAAACAAACATGAGTTTAACATTTCATTGCTGCAGACACACTGTAAGGGCCTAAACACGAGACACTGTAAAGCCTTAAATCTTGGTTTCTTGGGCTTTATTTTATAAACAGATGATGAACCTATTGTTAACGCAATGTAATTTTATTTGAAGTGACAAAAACGTGTTCGGTTTCACTGGACTTGACATCATGACCTTTGTATTAAACTACAGTACGTACTTCTTTCTGTAACGTATTGCAGGCCTGTGATTTATGGTGTTTGTTTGTGTGTGTGTGTGAAGAGCAGAGTTTTATACATTTCAAAAATAAAACAAGGATTAGATTTGTGCAGTTGGAGAATGGAGAATGATGTGGACTAAAAGGAGATCCATGCTATAAACTCCCCATTTGTATTTTGTTGTTTTAATATATAATGTTTCCCCAACTAAGAAGAAATAAACCGAGTACTGCCATCCAGTAATAGTAATAAATACATGTTTTAGGGTCCGGGCAGCATTTATTACATTTGAACCACTGCAAATTTCAGAAATCCTATAAAAATGGTGAGGGTGACTAGGTATTACGGTAAACGATCATATCCTTTAAGCCCCGCTATTATATTCGTTACGCTCAAGCATCTCGGAACTCTCGCGAGAAGGTAGATCTGTTCTGGGTTGGAGGAGGGAGATCCAAGCAGTAAGGAATAAGGTATCATCGAAAATTGCGTGTTCTCAAAAATGTTACATGTTTTTGACATGGTCGTGTTTTTTTGTAAAGTAATATGAGTTGTGCTTAGACAGCTGAAAGTTTGGTTTATTACATGGATGCATGTTTTGGAAATTTGGTTGACCCAAACAGTTGTGCATATATAGTTTAAGTTTTCTTGTGTACAGTACTCGTGTGCAACACACTGGCCAAGCAAATGCAAACTTCAGCTTGCTTTTCACGTGCCTTTATCGCAAACATTAAGATATTAAACCGTTAAAATCCACTTTATTGCACGAGTGAAGTCATTTGGAAAGCTTAATGATGACCTTCGACAATACTACGAAAACATTGCTTGGAAATCTGTTCCTGCTTTTATTAAAAAAAGGATACTGAGCATAATGGAGCAGTCATAACACGATTTATAAACATAAACAACATTTTGAAACTTTGTTGAGGGTTGTTTGCTTTGCAAGCGGTAGCGGTGAGAGCTTGGCGGACACTTTTCAGGTGCGTTTCTTTGCCTTCCAGATTGTTTTCTAAAGAAAAAAGTAAAACCAGTTCAAAATGGACAACATGCAGGACAATACCACCGTCTTCAACACTTTAAAGTCATTTGAGAGTTTCCTCTCGCAACATGACGCTTCAACGAGCCAGCCTGAAACCAGCGCGAGTAAAAGTGACCTGCAATTCCAGTACAACTACCAGTTTAAGGTGAGTACAGTTCTCTAAATAAGCATTTGAGCTCAGCCATGCAAGATGCATACAGTGAGCTTATTAGATTGTGCACGATTACAAAATTAAAATGCATGATTCTCAAGAAATCAAATATTATTTAACTATTTGGTCTGAAATGTTTTTTTTTTTAGTAACAAAGTTAGATCAACACACCTTTGGACAGTATGTTACATTGATTGGTTTAAAAAAAAACATTACTGATTTTTACATCAGTAAAGACTTTCCCTGCATTGTAAGTAATGGAATTAATTTATCTTACTTTGCCATGGGGAAATTATTTAATGTAGATTTGGTATGAAGGTTCTTCATACCAGTTTCAAATTGGTGTCTGGTGTTAAGAGAGCTGTTTGGATTCTCTTGAGCGCTGTTAAAAATCCACATTTTCAGCCTCACTATTAAGAGCAATCTATATGTTACTGCGAAAAGCAATTAATAAAACTGTATTTTTGTGAAAGTACTATATAGTATAAGCCAGTTCAGTAGCAGATCAGTCTCAATCTTAATCGAGACATTAATTAAACTATAACCTCTCATTCGGCGTCAAGTCAACCAATGTCCCGGAGAATCCCTGGCTCGGGATTTTGCATTTTCTTTGTATCATGGAAGGTAGAAGTTTTCATTCAAGTAAAATGAAACTAATGCACATACAGAAAGTGAAAACAGTGTAACATTGGAAACAGTGTTTCCGTGATTGAATCAAGTAGATCCACAAAGACAAGGAGTCCAACCAAATGAAAACTTAACGAAAATATAAACACAAATGTTGAACTGGACACATCTCACTGGTTGGCCGGTCTCGACTCCCAGTCAGGCCACAGCGAGAGAACAACAGTCTGGCACGACGCTGTCGTCCCCTGCAAGCTACTGCAGTAATGTCCCCACAACCGGCGTTCACGCGTGCAGCAGAGACATCTGATCACCTGACCCATGATCATGAACCTTTCACCTCCACGCAGACAACAGCTGCTCTCTGGGGTTGAGGCAGGGGGAACGGGGTGGAAATTCCATGGCCGTGCGCTGGCAGGTAGCGAGCCATTCGCTGAATGAAGCAGGGTGGAGAAAGCTGACTTTATCCCACACCACTACTCAGTTTGGCACATCAGCCATCACCACCTCTCTCCGATGACCAGGTATAAGACTGTTGCACAGTGCATCCAAGAAAACTAGCACATGGCCTGTGCTGTAGGGCTCAGTGTTGGGGATGTGGGCACTAACACCATCACCTGATACAGCAGTGCACACAGTTATATTAACAGCTTGTAACAGCTGTGTGACTATCGATGTATTTCTAGGTGGAAGAGGAAGCTCAGAAAATCTTCTCCAAGACCCATCTTTTACAAATGGCCCAAGAGAAGTCGCAGATGGAGTTCAGTCACAAACGTGCCCGCATTGAGCTGGAAAAAGCAGCCCACACCAGTGCCAGGGACTTGGAGGTGAGCCCTGAAGATGCAGTTCTGATCTCTGTGTTTCATTCCGCCAGGGGGTCTTAAACACAATTCTGCATGGTGGTCGCTCTCAAAGTTCAGCTTTGTATCTTCTGGTTTTTGTTCTGTGGTCTCAGATACTGACATTTCACACTCGGGTCCAAGTTGTTTTATTGCTAATTCTACTTTTAAGAAAAGGACTGCTCTGTGTAATCACCTGTAAAACAAAAATCTGCTGTATATTTAAGATAATTACGTGAAGATGGGCAGTAGGACCTGAGTCTGAATAGAATGAAAGTAGAAATTCACAGAAAGGTTGTCTATCTTTCATGCTGTGTTTTCTTTTTCTCTGACTCCATGACATGAAAAATTGTTCAGAAACAAGCCATGCAAAGAACTGGAGATGGGGAATACAGAGTATTGTTTTTGCTATATAAATGTATATAATCGTTCTGCCATGCATGCCTTGCTGCACTTTGAAGAATAGAGCGTTTGAGATTGTTTGGTATATCAGAGCCCCCACCTGAGGAGATAATTACTTTAAAAATCCTGAACCCTGAGTAGGAAATTGCAGAGAACGATATTTATAGTTTTTTTCAAAAAAGAGACGAGTGTTGTAGGTGCATCTGAATTATTATTTCTTCCTTCACAAATAGCTCAGTTTGTTACAATTCAGTACATTTGAAATGTCAAACAGTTTCTGCTATTATCGGCCTGCCTGTATCACGTATTTTAGTAGTGTCCATTATATGTGGCTTTCCTTTTTAATTCACAGATTTTTTTGTGGGCTTAATTCATAATTTTTATCAATTTTGTGCCATCACGTCATATAGATGGTTTTCAACGGTGGATATTTGTATGCGTGCCCCTCAGGGTTACTTCAAAGGAGCTTAGGGGGCAGGCAGAGTAAAGGTACAAAAATACGCACATCATCAGGATTGTTTGGTTTTGTGTCATTTTCATGGAAGACATGTGATTATGGGCCGTATAGTGGCGCGGTGGTTAACATTGCTGCCTCTCAGCACTCGGGCCCTGGGTTCAGTTCCGTACCTGGGGTGCTGTCTGCGTGGAGTTTGCATGTTGTCCCTGTGCTCGTGTCCCACAGTCCAAAGACATGCTGGTACAGTAGGTTAACTGGCCTCTTGGAAAACTGGGCCTGGTGTGAGCGAGTGAGTCTGTGTGATGGACTCGTGTCCAGTCCAGGGTGTATCCTGCCTTAGTTGCACCTGTTTGCTTGCCGGGATAGACTCAGTACCGATCAGGGCACTGTAGAAAATGGATGGATGTATAATTGTACATTTTATAATTTCATTAATCTATTGTACAGTATTTTGAAATGACTTTACAAAGCCAATTGGAAACAGACCTTGACTGTTCTGTACCTGAATATTTCTGAATGGTGGCTCAAGTGAAAGTCTGATATCACATTGTTAGAAAGCACATAAAATTGGAAAAACAAATTAATTATCACCATTAAGCCATGTTGGTAATGAGCAAGTAGAAAAGGTTAAAAAGATACCATTGTTTCAGACAATACCCTTATTGGAAGGATAAATGGGAACTTGAGGCACAAGTGTTTGAAAGATTGCAACAGCATCTGCATTTCGGGTAAATGAAACGAAAGACCCTGGAAACCAGGTTGAACTACGATGAATCCGTTACATTTGGGAAAGAAAGAGATTTTCTGTTGTCTTGCAGTGCCACCAGACATGTTTGAAGTGCTGTAGGAGTGAGTGGCATTTTGTGGGATGCGCTGGTGTGGGTAACCTTCAGCACAAATGGAACAAGGCTAGTGATGGCTGGTAAAATTAGGAGGAGTGCAGGAATAGAACAGGTGGTACCAAATGTTGTTTCATCCCGATACATGGAGAAGCACATGGAGAAGTCCCATTTTGAACTGCTTAACTCTCTGTTGTCCATTTTACCTACCTAAAAACTGGGCCACTGGCTTTTCTGCAACAGAGTGGGTTCAAAGTGCTACTTCCCACTGCGTTCTGTAGTTTCCCGGCTCTCCTCTGGGTCTCTGTTAAGAAGGGTGCTTGATCTGCGAGTGGGGCTCCCCTCGGATCATGATTCTGCCCCGGTGGCTTATTTCAAAGATCCTGAATGGAGTGCAGACTTTGCAGGCTGAGCATCAGTGTGCGGGGACCAGACACATCTGTAAAAACGTGCTGAGCTAGACTGTGAATGTTTACTTTTAAAGGTAAGTGTATGTGAGGAGTCTGAAATTTAAATCCATGCCCATATAATGATGTGCCCTGTCAATTCTATATAGTAACACTTCTCATGAGCAGGCGTTGGTTTCTTAACTTTGTTAGGTGACATTCAGGAAATGAAAAGTAAAAAAGAATAAATTAAGAACTAATGTTACATTGCAAAGCGGAAAAAAGGTATATGAGACCTTCAGATAACCTGAATGAACTCGCTGGTTTCTTGCTTTGCAGTTGTGTGTTTGTGTGAGAGCAGCGGTCAGGCTGGCCTGTGCTGTATGTGGAGGCGTGTCGAGTGGCTCACCTGGGCTGTTCTGTTAATCTGCCTGTGGCTCTGTCTAGCGCGAAGTGGACCGTAACCAAGACCTGCTCGCGCGCATCAGGAAGCTGGAGGAGAAAGAGTCGGAAGCAGGAAAGGCCCTGAAGGAGCAAACTGAGATCAGCAGATCCCTGAAGAAGACCATCGAGGGGCAGAACAAGAAACTGGAGGAGAAGGACTCCAAGCTAGCAGAAGCCAATGAGGTACTAAAAATGAGTGCCCCAAGGCCCTGCTCTGTGGCCTTAAACCCGTTGGTTTGAGAATATTTTTGCGACAGGACGAAAGATTCTTGACACTTCATCTTCTAAATGCTGTAATCTGTAATGGACATCTGTTTGTTCTTTACTTGCACAATTTGAGTGTTTATCTAAAGATATGTACAGTATTCTGTAACCCTGCCTTGTGCCCATGACACCCCACGACTCTGGCTTATCCTCGACCCTTTATGGAAAATGTGGTTTCGAAAATGGATGGAGAGATATGCAGTACATAAATCCCACTACTACTGCTTAATGAATCATAATTGATATTGTTACTATCTCCATCATAATCAAACCTTCAGCTGCTTGATCAAATGCAGCATGCTATTTAAATTAGAGAGGGTGCAGAGACAGTGCTAATTAACGAATATCTGGCTGTGACAGGCAAAAGTCAAAAAGGACGTCTTGCCATATGTAATCCTTTATACCTGACTGAGTGACTGATCTGTAACGAGCCATCAACCACTGCCACTGAAAGCACAGGGATTTGCTTATGTCTCACACAGTGTCTGTCACAGACGGAGTTCTCCCTCTGAACGCTCTCCAGTTGTTCATTGCCATATTGTCTGTTGTCTTTCCCTTTTCCATGAAGACGAGCCGAGCCCTGCGGGATGAGATCCGAGAGCTCCATCATAAGATAAAAAACCAGGAGATCCAGCTGACCACACAGACCACTGAGAATCAGGGGTTACAGGAGCAGCTGGAACTATTGCACAAGTATGTTTTTTTTTTCCCCTCTCTTCTGAAAATCTCATTTTAAAATAAAGTTGCGGTTTCATTTAATTAGTTGGAACACACTGGTGTAGGACAAAGAGGAAGCAAGTGGTGGAGGGGAGAGGCAATTGTTAATCATTGTTTAAACCCATGTAGGTTTGTGATTTTCTCAATTTTAAGTTAAACTTAAATTGGCTTTGCTCCCGAGACTTGTTTATGGCTCCCTTATGAGCCTGAGGAGGGATTTCTATTTTTGTTTTCTTGTTTCCCTAGGTGCAACAATATTAGCACAAAAGCAGGCTGGCAGTCAGAAGTAAACCTTAACTGTTGTTGCAGGGTATTTATACAAAGATATGATTATACGGTACATCACAAACAGTGCTAGAGGCTCCAAGCGAATTCATCCTTGTAACAAATGTTCTGAGTCCAGGAAACAGGCATAGATAGAAAAATTAAGAAAATATCAGATGAATGAGAGTGCTCTACAAATTGTATAAAAGGGCACAAGATTCAAAGATAGAAAAACCATATATGCACAGCCGGAAAAAGACATTAGAATTTTCCTAGAATTGCCCAGAGGAAGACTGAACGGAATATTGCAGCAGAAACAAAAAAACAACACATAGCATTTTTTCTATGTGTATAGGTCATGTAATAATAGGTGAAGAATGCTACAAGTCCATAAAGAATACCTAAACATGTTAGCTATATATTGAACATAGATTTTTACAAGTGATGTCAAGATGCCGAGTTATAGAATGGATTCCAGCAGTATTGATTTGGTGATTTGCATAACCAGTGTTGAAATTCTGTTAAAAGGGAAGGACTATTAAAAATTGATAAGTTTCTGGGGCCTGATCATGTTTTTCCCCATTATACTTAACGGAATGAGGGGTGCTGTTCTTCATAGACTCCTAATTAGGACATTTCACCCTTCACATAGAAAGACAGTGGTATCCACAGATTGGACAACTGCAAATGCAGCCCAGTCCTTCACCGAACGAAACCAGAAAACTGCAGATTAACCAGCCCCACGTCTTGTTACTGGCGAAGACAGGGAAACGACAGTTAGAGCTGAAATAGAAGAATACTTCCAAACAGTGGCTACTTAAGGCACGGCCAGCTTTGATTTAGAGAGGGGAGGTGTCGTTGAATTTTCTTTTTCATTGAGCCCGAAACAGGAATTGCAGGCAACTTAGATAGGCGGTGCAGTACTGGGGCCCTGGGTTCAAGTCCAGGATGCTGTCCGTGTGGAGTTTACGCGTTCTCCCCCCCTGTGTTCACATGGGTTTCCTCAGGGGGCTTGAGTTTCCGCCCACAGTCCAAAGACATGAATCTTAAAGGCCAGAAGAATCCAATATAATGTGTATGCACATGGATTGAAAACTGATTACCAGGAGAGAGAGCAAATCACAATAAGGGGCACAACCTCTGACTGGGACCCTTTGCTCTTCTGACCTATCTTATTTCATTGACTGGGGTGGTCTGATACAGTGTGAAAGTTAGTTGAAATTGCAGATTATATAAAAACAGGTGGAGAGGCAAACACAAGGCAGTTGCATAAAGATAGTCATTCGTTTGGCAGGCACTCAAAGTTTAACATTGGTAAGTGATCCACACAGATAGGAGACACAAAGAGATCAAAGTGACAGTAAGTAGGCTACACTAACAATGGAAAGAGATTTACATGAGTAAAGGTATCTGCCTTTTAACATAGTTCAGAAATCTTAGAGATGAGATGGAAGTTATGAGTTAAAAGCTGTGTAATTGTATGTTTGAAAATGTAAATTACATACAGTCTATTCAGCACCAGGAGTGAAGTTCAGAGCCACTTTCAGAATTGCAGCACCTTTTTAGAGAACACCTGCTAGCAGAAGCCTGCACAGTATCAAATACTTCACTTTCCTGTTTTTTTTTTTCAAAAATGTCTCTAAAAAGGAAATGCCAGGAAGCAACTCAGAAAATCCAAGCACTCCAGATGTATCCTTCACTGAACTCAGAAAATGAGCTGAAGATTAAGGTATGCATTTGTGCCACTGCACTTGAGAACTACAGTATATGTTTATAGTAATGTGTTAGAGGGATGTCAGTTTATGTATTCGAGAATGAAAAATGTAACTGAATATATTATGAGTTCCTGTTAATTTATCGTGCAAAGTACTTCTAGTACTAGACAGTATCTTCTGCTTTTATTCTTAGTATCTCTTCCATCAAGTTATTTTAAGTATTTTTTGGCAAAATAAAGCTAAGAAGTGTTCGATCCTTTATAGAATGATGGACATGGTTACGGGTTATATTACTTTCATTTTGTTGAAGAAGCTGATGAGTATGAAATTTTAAACAGTAAGACATTGGTGGTTTAGGGCCCTTGCTAGCTCTTGTGTGTTTTAATGGTGAAAACTCTCAGCTGGCCTATAATGATGTTTGTAGGCATGTTTGTAGAGGCACCACGCTCTCTTTTGTCCTGCCAAGATAATCTACACTCAATACAGTTTCTAACCAGATGTTGAAATGTGTGGCTTTGGAATTTTTTCCCCCAAAAATAAATATTGAATGAAAAATGTCATTTTATGTAGTTATGAAAGGACCACAGCCTGCTATCGGTATGATGTCGAATGGTTCCTTACATGTGCTGCCTTTGATCCAGCCTTTCCCTGTCTTCTGTCCTCTACGGCAGGAGCTGGAGAGGAGGCTGGCGATGCAGGAGCAGGATTCCGTGATCGTGAGGAACATGAAGTCTGAGCTCGGGCGAATCCCAGACATGGAGAAGGAGCTCCAACAGCTCAGAGAGGAGAACGCCTACCTGAGGTACAGGCATGGCTTGTTGTGCTCGTGATTAACATCAGCCTTCTAAATCTCGTGAGCTGTCAAGCTTATGTGGGGTTGGAACCGTTTATGTGGGTCTGTTATCTCAAAGATTTAGGCATGTGGTAGAATATTCTCTAATAGCATTTGAACCTTAACTTAAACCTAACTTCTCACGCAGACGTAAACAAATTAGATGGCAATATTTGAATGTAATTAAGGTGATGTTTGAAACCCTCGGCAGCAATATTAAGAAGTTTGAGTAAATAACACTACAGACTTCCTGATGAAAAAACATGGAGTTTCACTTGGTTCCTGTATCTGAGATATTCCTTGAAAGCTGTCGTGCTCAAGGTGTAATCCTTTCAATTTGAAGGATATTCTGTGTAATTTCATTGAGATGTCTTTGTTAAACCCACAGACGTTTTAACAACTTAAGCCTTCTGAAGCCACCTCTGTCAGTTGACAGTCTAACAAAAGGTTGAGATGATTAAAACTCGTTATTGGGTTTTAATGCATCCAGGGCTCTGAAAACATCAGGATCAGGCGTTCTTGAGCTTTCACATCATCAGTCAGACATTGTTTTTAGTTATATGTGGGGTTCCATTTATTAAATGGATTAAACTGGACAGATGAGGGTGAAAATGGTTATTAATGTGTGACCATAAGACGTAAATTACAAATCAGAGGAAGTCCATTGGCCCACTGTGCTTGTTTCAATGTCATCTCGTGTTCCTGTTTTTGTAGAGAGACCAAGGAGAACAATAATTTACTGAAAGAAGAGGCAGAGGGGATGCGGAAGAAACTGGAGCGTGTGGAAAAGATGAAAGAAGACCTTGTTAAGCTTGAATTGGAGAAAGAAGTAAGGCTTGTGTGGGGGGAAAAAACATCTTTTCAGAACTGCTGTTGGTCCCTCATTAAAACAAACATTTAGAAGAGTTTGCGCTTTCATGTTCCATCTTCCTGTGAGAAAAGCAGCAGCAAATCAATACAGGCTCATTTGTTAATGCTGACTTACCTTTTCGGTACATTGTAATCTCCGAGTCAATATGAAGCATGTTAACTTCTTCGTGTATGTGGGGTTAAATGTTTAATAGCATAGTTGGCATATAAGAAGGTCTTTCTACACCTCATGGAAAGCATTTGTGAAATGCCTCTGTTCACCCTCACAATTATCTCATGACAATAATGGTTCTGTAGCAAATGTGAGGGTCTGTGCTTTCTGATCTGATGTCAGGCAGTACTGCCAGAGACAGGTTGTTGCTTCTAATTCTAATGCTGAAGCATTCTCGCAGTTCTGAAGGGTCTGTGCACTTCATCATGCCTGGCTGTTAACAGGTCTCTGGGAGCACTGATAGAATTCTTCCTCAGCAAGTGTGTTTCAGAGCTTCAGAAAAAGAGGCAGGTCTGTGTTAATCTCTTAGGGTTTTTAATCAGCTTGGATTCCTGTACAAGGCTAAGAACATAAGCCAGCAAAATGAGCTAATTAGGGAAAAATTTAATGATCTGGGCAATCATAAACGCAATACATTTTAATGAGAGCTCATTTTAATGTGCAAATATAATTTCACAGAGAGTATTTATTCCTTAACGGTGAGTGATTATTCTTGCGCTAAGATGACGAGAAATTGATTAAGCAGGTGAAGTAGCTTTTTCACAAAAAATGATTTTTTTTCTTACCGATCGTTGGATTTTGAAAGCCAGTTTCTAGTAAGTAAAGGTGGAGGTTTAAAGGTGCCAACAGCAACAGTACTGTTTTCTGTTATTAATTGATGGACATAATAACACCAAACATATTAAGATGCACTAACCATGTAATCAGTGAATGAAGATTAATTTCATTCAATACATTTCCTTTAATCAGCAGAAGTAAGAAATAAAAAAAGAATATTATTATATCCATTCTTTGATAATAATCAAAATCAATCATTTCATTCATTCAGTGTCCTTCTCCAGGGCCAGGAGGTCCCAGGAAGGCTTTTTAAAACATTTTATTTCACCTTACTGCTGTTTTTTTGTAGGTTGTTCTCCTAAAAGAGGGTTCCTAGGCTTTGACAGACTCCATTCATAATTCATGTCTTAAGAAAGGTTATGTTAGTGTCGACTAGTCCTGTATAAAACTGTTATATTATTGAACATGTCATCTACAAAGTAAATTATGTAAGAACCCAGTTTGTGAATGGTCCGCTGACATAATTCATGACTTTAAAGTCTTAATTTTGGGAACCACTTTCTTGTCTGCTTAATGTGTATGAAATGGATTTAATTTGGATTGATGGCTCTCTGAAAGACACGTTTTGAGAAATTACATTTCTAGCTACAAAATTAAATTTCACTGAACTGCATACGTGGTTTTTTATTCTTCATGTAGAGTACAAAAATAACATTAACCCAGCAGGAGTGTCCTCACTAAAATTGTACAAATCAGTTTGGTGGTGAGTTCCAGTCTAGTCCTATCAAAATTAAATAGGTGCAGCACAGTTTGCAATTAAGATGTGAGGTTTTAACCTTTTTGAGGTTCATAAGTTTGTTTATACCTGCCGCTAAATTCATAAGGTTTTTAGGAATTTACTTTCTTTTTTTGCAGCAGGCACTACAAAAAACGTTCATCATGCTGATTATATCTTACCATCACCCGTGTTGATGAATAGGTGGTGTACTTTGAAAGTCACAAGCAGCTCAAGAGAGTTCCCACTGAGAGGCGCAAGACACTCTATACATCCAGGAAGCATGGTTTGTACCAGACTGTGTTCTATTCCTTCTGTGGAGCCTGGACAAGCAAGAGTCTGTTCACTGGTGTCTGCCGCCACACTTTGTACCATCTTATCCCACAGATTCTTAGTACAACTCTGCTCTGGCAAGGGCCTCCTGCAGCATAACTGTTCCATTCTGATCTCACAAGAAAGCTGTTTCTACACGAGTAGCATCAGGGTTTCATTAGTGAAGCGCTGTGCAATCAATCACCACAAGTGGATCTCTGTAGAGACTAGACGCTCCTGCCTGGATCATCATGCTTGGGTGTCCCCATTGATCGGTCTGTTGTGCACAGAAGTCATCTCTTCATTCTGCACCTCTGTGCCACACTTGGCTGTGTCCATCGTGTCATCATTGGTTTAGCAGAAAATCACGACTCATCATGAGAGAAGACTCTTTTGATGAAAACATTGAAATGCAGTAGAATAAATAAGATAAGATCACTTTATTGGCCATGTACAATTTCTTGCATTAGGAATTTGTCTTTTCGCGTACCCCAGCTTGCTCTCCATGAGACACAGACAGGGAGAGAAGCTTGGGGTCAGAGCACAGGGTCAGCCATTGTACAGCACCCCTGGAGCAGATGGGCATAAGGGCCTTGCTCAGGGGCCCAAATAAGCAAATACATGGTATTAGTTAATAATGCTAAAGTGTTTCCTATTACTTTCCCCCACCCATTATTAACCTCATATTCTGGTGTTAGGCGGATTTCTGCTTCTTGTTGACTATGCTCCCCTTTTAATTAAATTGGATCTGACGTTTTCTCAGAACGTAACGGGTTCAGTTTTCGGTAGTGGAACAGATTTTGATCCGTGGAATGAACAAACAATTGGCAAAAGGTAAAGCCCGCAAGAAACGGAAGCAACCTCAAGGGGTGAACCTCGGGGTTAAACCAATAATTTTTGGTAAGAACTGAAAAAGAAAAAAATGGCCTCAAAAAACCTGAAAAAAATGCCCTTTGGAAGGAACAAGGGTTTTTTTACTACATCCCTGTACTAGGTAAGCGTGTTAGATGTTAGATGACTTGGATGATGGGTATAAAGGAAGAAGCAAAAGCAGAACACAAAGCCCTTAACTATATAGTGGTGTTTTTGTGTCGGGCACTGCAAATGTCTGAATGTAGAGTATAATTGTATTGTGTTACTTAGAAGAATCATGTCATGTCCATTTCCCCTGCGGAGTGGAGCATTTGGCAGCATCTCCTCTTTCCTCACTGTTAGTATGGGTTGTAAGTTTGCATAGTATAACAGCTCAATATAATGAAATAAGATGTTTTCTGAGTAAATTATGTAGTAGTTACCCACACTTTGTCTCCTTTGAAATGACTTTGAAAGAGATTTTTTTCACTTTTCTAGAAGTAGAACTTTATCGTACAGCTTAATTCATCATATATGAGCTGTACGTACTGTGAGATATACAAAAAAAAGTTGAACAGCAGGATGAAAGATGTACATTTGTTTCTGGAAATTCCTTGGCTTAAAAAAAAAAGACCAATCGGTTGTGCACAACAGGTTGGAATGAAATTGTGAGATGTTCACTTTATCACATGCTTTGAATTACACACTTAGTCCTGTCATTTAAAGGATTTGGGGTTTTGCAAATGTCTATCCCAGTCTGTAGTCAGCCCCCATCTGCATCTTTAAGACAAGAGCCACCCCAGCCGTCATCTGCAGCTGCATTGAAACTCTGAGCTCTAATGGCAGATGGCACTGTATGTGGGTACTAATTTACAATTACAATTTACAAGTTTCACAGCGCCTGGAGCCAAGAGAACAAAGCATAGGGATATACGTGGATACAGGGGGAAAACTTTTTCTATATAATTATGTTACATTAAAGTTTCAATTAATTTAGTCCATATTGCATTAATGCATATTACTGAAGACCTAATATATAGCCATCTTCAGCTTGCAAAAGTGTAAATGCATCACACTTGACAAGTGTTACATATATATTTTAATTACAATTCTTCCATTTCTCCATCTTACAGAAACTTTCTCTGAAACTACAAGCTTGGCAGAATTTAGAGCAGATGACTGGTCTTAACATCAGGTAAGAATATTTGACAGTAAGTTTGAGTTCTGAAAAATTAAAAAAAATACAGAATTCACAGGAAAAATCATGGACTTATGGCTGCAATACAGTCTTCAATTTTCTTCTCTTTCACAAAATTAAAACCAGGTGATTTGAATGCACTTGATCATAATTTAATGATTAATTGTAGGTAGGCATACTGTTTTCAATCAGCTGATCTGCATTGGTAAAATGTTTTCAGGTCTTCTTCAGAATATACAATAATCCTTTGAATGCAAAATGACATTATCATCCTTGTTTGTAAAAGCCTCTGCCTTGTGGTCGTCTGTGTAGTGTAGGTTCTTGGGATCTGGACAGAGGTTGCCAAGGGTTAATCTAATCACAGATGGAGTTAAGCTTATAGTACAAGCGATCTCAGGTTATGAGAGCATCACAGTTCTGCGGGTTTTTAGAGAGGCCTTGCAGTCATCCACCCTATACCTAAAAACAATCAGACCGTGTACCTCTCCAGGACTAGGTCTGGACAGCCCTTCCTGCAGTATGCATTACAACACTGGTCAGATCAGTGAAGTGCATCTTGCATGCATCACACCCTGGCCCGGTTTAAAAAAAAATAGCATACTTTCAAGATTATCCCCCAGATACATAGTCCCTCTTAATCAACAACTTTTCTGTCATTTTTATAATGAGCTTAAGTTAATTAAAAGCAATTGCTGTCATGTATAATGCATTAGTACCCCTTTACCATTCACAAAAAAACGTGGTGCATTGAACAGGTTTATAGACAGTCAGAACGTGTTTTTATTCCATGATCTGTAAAGGCCATTTTATTCCCACAATTACTTAATTTTTTTCTAAATTATAACATTTCGTCTTTCCTATTTATGCCCACACTATGAAGTGGTATTGTACCCATGACCTTGCAGTTGTACTTTGTGTATATACAATTTGAATGTGGACATTGTGTTTTGATGGTGGAGGTGTTATTTGAAAACAATAGAAAATGTTTGGGTTCCCTATTTATCTTTGGGATAAACATGAGAATAAAATAGTAACAAAAACATCTGAAGTGTGCACAATTTCTAGCTTGTATTCTGCAACATCAAGTTGTCATATTTTCTTTGGAATCTAAAGTGTTTATTTCTGTGAATGCATCTGGCATTCATCCCAATGCTTTTTTGTTTGAAAACAAATTTTTGGTTTTTCCACACTTGGATGTTTTTTTTAAATGTTTTTGTCTCAGTGATACTGCTGAAGCAAGCTTGACCATTTCTTATGAACTTCCACTAGATAGAGCACTTGAGCTGTGAGTTGTTTTCATACAGTTTAGCTTTTCTGAGAAAACCATTATTCTTTCCTTTTATTTTTTATTATTCCTGGTCAGTATACCTGCATTTTTAGGTATGATTTTTATGTTTTTAATCTTTCGAACAATCTCTTTATTTTTATTTTGCCATTGGATGTTCTTTGTTGACCTAGAGTTAACATATAAAGCCAAATGCTTTTAAACATTTTATTTTCTGTGTGATGCAGCTTGAGATGGTGCAGTGTTTCGAGTATATCTGTGATCTTGGCTGTCCATGTGGAAATAAGCAATCATTATTTCATTAAAGGTATGTGAAAGAAAAATGGATTTTATAGTTCAGCCATGAAATGAATGAGCAGTAAGAATTTTGGCCACGTTCCTACAACAGCACGTTATAAAGAATGTGCGTCATTAAAATGAAATTCTCCCGTTGATTTGTGCGTTGCCACACTGAAATTGAGTTGGGTGTTGGGAGCTCAAGTTTTTCCCCTTGACCACATTCAGTTTGTCACTATTAAAGTCTGACCACTGTCGGTGCCGGGCAGCGGTTATTATTAATAAAGAAGAACAAGCAGCAGGGAGACCTTTCTTGTATATGGCTTTAGCCAGATCCCATTCTTACCACCAGTACATCGGCAGGGGAAACTTGAATCCCTCTTGGGCTCACGGTAATAGAAGGGCAGGGCTTTCTCCTGACCCTTTTCTCAGCCTTAACTACACTATTGGTTTTAAATTTGATGCAGAAGTTATCTTGCAGTGCTCTTTAATGAAAAAGATAGCACCGTTCTATCTGTAAAAAAATCTTTAAAGGGATAAACGCTTTTAATGGAAGTGGAGAATATTAGTTCATTAAGATTGCAAGATTTATCTGTAGTTTATAGCCTCCTTAATGTTTTTGTTTTCCCATGCTCGAGCTGTGAAATATGAACTTAGATCTGTGAGTTTTTTTCCCCCTTCATTTCAGTAGTCTTAGTGTTGATAAAATTGGTACACATGTTTAATAAGAAAGTACTATTGTTTTTACTGTATCTGGTTGTGTTGGGAGTGCTTCTTTGAATACAAGGTTTCATCGGTTTAGTTTTATTTAATTAATTATCTCCTAAGGCTTAGCCTGAATATGCTTTGTGTTAAATATGCCCTTCAACACACGGCTGCATTAATATCCTTGTTAAAATCTGATTAAAAACTAAAATTGTGTTTTTTGAAGTCTGATTATCCCATGAAATGGAATTTTTAAACCTAATTATGGGTGGATTTGCATACATTTATGTAACCATTGGAAAAAAAATCAAATAAATTTATTAATGAAATCCACTTACTCAGTTTTCTTTGGGTTTTGGTCTATTTTAAGAGTGATTCTATATAATTCTCAAAATTATGTAAATTACATGAAAGTTTGTACAGTATATGTTTTTTCTGCCCATGTATTTTTTTTTTACAAAAAGAACAAATGAAATACTTTTCTTCATTCTTGGATTATTACCAAGTTAGAAACTCTTATTGTCAGAGGTCTTTGATTGCTTCCTTCTTCAAAACAAGATATTGAGAAAATTGGTTTGAGTGGAATTGACCTGTTTTTTTTTTCTTATTGTGACTTGATCAGCATCCAAGTCTTTGATATTTCCATCACTTTTTAATATGATTCCCAGTACACTAAACTGCTGATAAATATTTAGATGAAGTCATGTAATTTTCTTGCTGCTTCCTTTTATGTTGATTGTAGGGCAAAAAACAACAACCCCATATTAATTTACTGAGCTTCATGAATAGGTCTCTAGGATGTAACATCTTTTTCATCATCCTTTATTAGGATAGCTGTGTTGTTTATTAATGCTGGTTGTTGAAAGCATATGTAATTTAATATGTCTCTGATCTGACAAACTTTCTTGCAGAGTTGGTCTTGGGTATCTGAATAGTGAATGAGAGGAAGCTATTTTGGTTTATTGCCATTGAAGTTGAGCAGTGACATATTTAGGAACATATTTTATGTTCTCCAGTAAGATAATTTGATGATGTCATAAGGTTGCTCAGTGTTGATTGAGTTATTAGATTTTTTCACCAGCTATGATTTGTCTTAAGTGATGGATTATCATTAACTCATTCAGTGAACTCTGAAGAGAGCAGGTTAATCTTAGGCCCTTGTGGTAAATGCCTGAAAGCTTGAGATCATAAAGCTTTTCTAGTAGTTTAGTCAGGCTTTCGTTTGAATAGGGCTTAATGCAGAGTGATGTGCTCTGTTCTCTAAATTGACAGATATTTAAAGGATTTATGCCTAGTAAAAAAAAAAAGAAATGATTACCTGGATGTAAGTTCTGTCTTGGGTAAATTTCACACTGTGTGATTTTCACTCTTTTACATTTAAAGGCTTCATTTTTTTAATTAGCCCTATGTTTTGATCTAGTCCTTTTTATATTATATCCTTACTCACTGGGTTTATCAGAAAGCATTTTTTACCGTGAGCTTTCATGAATTGACCTTTGATTTGATTTTAAATGGAAATGGCAGAAGTTATTTGTTGCTTAGAACCTTGAATGCTTAAAATAGAATCGATGAATGCTTTACTCGTGATTAATCTCAAATCACAATTCAAGCGGCTCATAGTAACTATTCATAATGCACCTTGAGAATGATACATAGACTCTGCAAGATGCCCAGTTCCTCCAGCTTCCTCTTGTTTATATGGCTATTATACATTTACAGTTTCGTTACGAATTGTTTCAGTGTGCCTCCAATGGAAGCAGTAAATGTGTTAGGTACTGTATATTTATGTTATATTCAAATAGCTCACTGAAATTAATGCTTATGTAAAGGCGTACTCTGTGCACGCTTGTTGATTGGTTTTACCAAAGAGGATTTCCAGCTGTTCGAAGTAATAGATGTGAAATTGTATTCCTATATGTATAGTATGTAGTGAAGGATGAAGAAATGAGTGAATACAAATGAGTGAATAAAATCAAATGAATAAAAAACTATTTCTAATGATATTGTGGACTGTTCAAATGGTTTGTTGGCTCTGTCTTATGGGATAGTTGAGGTCCTTACTGTAAAGCAACCATCCTTGACAAACATTAATACCAGTTTTGAAATGGACTGTCTGGAGGAGAGAGTTTTAACTGAAAAAATGTCATCGTAAGGTGTTACAATTAGGAAGGAAATAATAAAAAACACTTTATTCAGGCAGATAAACAGGTATAACAAAGAGAATCACAATTTCAATTTTGCATAGATTGTTGTTTCACTGTAGCATTAATGCATGGTGACTGGGGTCGGTTAACGTCGCACTGAAATGTTCTAGTGTGGGAGTTAGTCTAATTCCTGGAAAGAGCAAGTGTGTTCTTGTTTGGGTACATGGTAGAGTGTTATATCAACACGTCAAAACCCAAGCACTTGCTCCATTTCATGAGAAGAACACGTCATTCCTTCTAGTGGAAAGAAAACAAAAAATCTTTTGTAGGTGCTATGTAACAAATGAAAAATATTGCTGTGTTTTATGCATAACTTTGAACTGTGATTTCAACTGAGGAAGAAGGAGTATGTAATTCTACGGTAGCTTGCAACAGAGAAGAAAAAGAAGACTGAACTATTGTGCACTTCAAGGAAAGGAGCACTCTTACGCCTTATTTGTGGAAGTTGGCGAGAAAAAAAGTTGGTCAAAGGATGGGGTGTCTGTCTGCTTTAAGCATCTCTCTAGGAGAAAACTCCTAGATACAGA